TTGAAATCAATTTGCAGATGGTTCCTGAATAACCAGCAACTGGTCAAACAGTGTTGATTGATGAAATTAGCCCAATATATATTATAATGCTTTCTATGACAATAAAGTCGGAATATTAATGCCGTCTATGACAGTAAGGTCTGATTTCAGGAAAGCATGTTGATAAAATTTTCTTTGTCTAGCTGCAAGCCCCTGTGACCCCCCCCCCTCGCCACTACAAATGTGTGAGGAGGTGTTTAGTCAAGTAGTGGGGGGGGGTCACAGCGGCTTATAGCTAGACTAAAATGTTCCTTATGTACCATCAAATGTTTGTTGACCCAATGACATTTTCTAATAATGTCATCACAGTCTGCAAAGTAAAAGTTAATGCCCTTTTAAATTCAATACAATCACATATATTTTTTTACATAGTGAATACTTAATAGTCATTGATGATATTTATGAAGATTAACGAAAAACGTGTGTTTTGGTTGCTAATACAGTTCTTTAGTTCATATTTTGAGATTTATTTTTTAGAGAAGACATTTTTGAGTAGATGTAAAAACATTATGACAAGTTTTGAATTATTTTCCATGTTTGCATTCTATGGTAGATCAATTAGTGAATCATCTATAGCCAAATTAGATATTTCTTGACCTTTGTGAAGCAGGGTAGGTACTTATTAGGGGGTGGGCGCTAAATATATTTATTGTGGTAAATATTTTTCCCTCCTACGCATCTCACTTCTCCTATGAGCCGAAGTAGACGAGGGAGAGGGGGGATTCAGAGACTTTATGTAAGACCAACATCCGCTGTGGTTTGATTTAAGCGCAACAGATGATATTAAAGTATTGGTTCTGTATAGGAGACATTATTAACAGTTTGAACTCCTACCATTATATATATTGATTATGGAAAAGTCATCATTAATTTAATTGTTTGTAGTCTGTTTACATCTGTAGCCAGTTTAATCAGCTGGATTGAAGTTACTTGCACGCAGATGAGTTCTGCCTCAATTCTCGGACTACTTTCAGATCTTTCCCATTCTCTATTCATCACGACAACAGAGTTTATTTGACAAGGGAAGGTATCAAGCATATATAGAATTACTGGTAACTGTTGCGTTTTGATAGAACATCCCATTCATCTCTATCTTTCACTTGCCTCAGTAGAGGATGAAAAAGGACTGGTAGGAAACAGTTCCTTTATACCTTGGTCACATATGCTCCGATCCATCGGCCGGCGCCGTAATGAAAATCAGAGCAAATGTGACCAAGGCATTGGCAAGCCTAGTATTTCCTGTTATATTTTTGATGAGGTTTTTGTGACCAGGTTTACATACATGATCGCTCTTTGTTATTGCTGTCGCAGCAGCTGGAATCTTCTTCATCATCTGCAATTAATTCCTATAATAGGGAAAATTCTTAAAACATTGATTATCATATTGAGACATTCAGATCAATTGAGTTTGACAAAATTCACTTTTCCAGATGTGCATTGATTTTTGATTAGTTTCAATTTTTATTTCGAGCAATCCTTCATTTTCGTTCGTGTTTGTGGGAGTCTTTTCTCAGAATTTTTGTTTTTAGTATCAGTAATCTCAGACTTTTCAAACTCACTATCGAAAAGTCTTTGACTAACATTTTTGCTTATCTGTTTATAGTATGTATGTATTTAGATAACCCACTATTGAAAAGTTGAATGGAAACCTCATATGTTCATGTTCTTACAAACTAAATTCATACTACATATCTAGTTGATTGACCTGAAAAGTGAAAATCAATTATATGAAATAGTACCATTTATCGGGAATTGTAAATAGCCCTAGCAATATTAATAATAATTGATAATAACGCCATCAATTAAAACCTAAATCGTACCTCACATAGATGTTACATGAATAATTTTAGAGATAATATTCAACTTCCAAATGTTTTCCCTAAGGGTTTTGAAAAGTTAGTTAATGAAAACACAGAATGAAATTCTGCGCTAAGGGCTATTTATATTTTCATATTTGAGTTGTTTATTTTTTATTTAAGTAATCGTTATTCCTGGTTTCATTCAAATAAATGTTTAACTTCCAAATATGGAACATGTGCGAAACTGTTTGGGCCAAGGACGTCTTCTGACAAATTGAAGTACATGTACTTCAATATACATTCTGAATTGGTTCAGTCCATGATATATATAACCTATTTATTCCATAATACATTCCACTAAAATGTTACATTTTGAAAATGCTTTTATCAATTATGTAAGGTTAAAAATAACAGGAAAACCAAAAATAGGTTAGTACGTTCCAATAGGATTTTTTTCCCGGGGACAATACGATTTTTTCATGTGATACGCATCAATACGATTTTTTCCCGGGGACAATACGATTTTTTCATGTAATACGATTCAATACGATTTTTATTCCTTCATATTTCCCTGGGAAAACAGTAGTATTATGGAATAAATATGTGCATAAACTATATTACATTTGAAATAATTTTACTTGGCCTATCAAACCATGTGCTTCCCATGCTGTTCTAGTCTACTACATAGCTATAGGATTTTCTGACCTAGGTCAACCTTGTGATCCTATACAGGAGACTTGATAACTTGTGGGAGATGTGTTATCAATCAGATATGATATGTTAATCAATAAAATTAATAAATGTGGGTTAACCATTATATTGTATATTGAGAGATATCACAATACCCAACAATTATACATATTATGCTATTGTAAAAATGTCTTTTTTCAATCATGATAAAACCAAGGTCACAATTACCAACGATTATTGTGAAACATATCTTCTTATTTTTATGTTCATAGTTTCAAATATTTTGCAAATAATGATGTAAAGATAACAAAAATCAATAACATAATTTTGTATGAGAATTTTCAAACATGACAATTGCACATATTTTAATTTAGAGAGTACAAAATGGTACCCTTTGCATTCGTTTGACTTCACTTCTTAAAAGAGAGCTTCGTCTTCACTCTTTCAAACTTAAATAAACCTGTGAACTCACCGCGCCAATCAGTGTTCGTCGGCCAAATTTGACCGACGTTCTATATATGGTCATTCCTTCTGACGTCATAGTTGAGCCCGGAATTGACCAATGACACGCGCATATTTAATTAGAACGCATTTGGTGTATGTTTCTTCAAGCTTGTGGGGGCGGGGCTACAAAACTGTAATATGGTCTCTACTAGGCAGAGTGTAGTTTAACTAGACTCTGCACGCAGGGTAACAAAATGGAAATCATATCCTTCATATAGCATGACGATCAAGATAAACACCAACTGTGTCTATCTTCAGCTATTTGTAATATCAGTTAGACAGTCATTGACTTTATAAGTATCAGTTACTGGTGAACTGGAAATTTGACTTTTTAAAAAATCATTGAATTTTAAAATCAACATGCATGGTACAAATAAATGTAATATTGTCTTAATGCCATGCCCTTTGAACTTTTTATCAGTTACTTGGGAAGCCATTTCTCATATTGTTATAGTCTCCAGTAGATTTATGGACAATGTTCTGCGTTTGGTTGTTCGGCGTTTGGTGTCCTACAGTTGTAACAAATGGCAAGTGGTGACATTTTACATGTTAATCCACTGAAATCCACTTTGATGTTGGATTAATAAAGATACATACATATATGCCAATGTTATATCCCTAATCTTGAATTTCTTAAAATTAACAAAATTATGTCAATCTGACACAATTGATAGATAAAAATACATGTGCTTTGGATATGGATCAGATCTATACTGATAATCACTTAATCTGATTGTCTTTAATGCAGTTGTTTTGAAATGCTCTTAGTCTGTCATATCAGAGATGAAATAAAACGTGATATATTATGTTGTAATGTACCATAACAAGCTTGGGGCATTTTTACTGCAGTTAACAAGATAAATAGGAGTCCATTATTATATACATTCATCAATTTAACACTGAAAACAATATATTATCCTTCCTCACAAGATCTTAGCAAAGTATGAGTAGTACTCCATTATCTTGAAAGGAGGAAGAAAGAAAGATACAAAATATATCCTCGAATGTATCATATTTAGATACAGGGCATTGTTATACATTTTATCGACAGGATAGAGCAATTTTACTGTACATAAAAACTAAAACACCGGCTATGTTAACTTGTTAATGTAATAGCCGATGATAGATAGATAATGATAGATAAAATCACAAACGAATTAGAAATGTGACTGGCGAATTGATTTTTGCGATTTATGAAAACAAAAAGATTGGTTATAATTATGTGTTCTCAAATCAGTCGATTGATCAACATGGAATATTACAACAGGAATTTTAACCGCTCCTGTTCACATTATGTTGGATATAACCACCAAAAAAGAGATTACCATGACGATGGATTAATTCGACCAGTAAGTGTCATGCTAAATCATGGATGAAATGTATTAATTAAGTTTTTGATCGCAAATTACAATAAAAATGGTGAAAATCTCATTGAAATTTCAATAGGCATATCGTGTATATATTTAATAATATAGAAATGCAACTTTGATGTTCTGTTTTTAAGTCTCTGAGATAAATGTGTCAAATAAGTACAGTACAGACAAAGTGAAAAAAAATATGATAGATTGAAATGAAATGAATCATTTGTAATAATGCTTAGTGTTAAGTAGAAATATGTTCATGCATGGAAATATATTGTTACATTTACATGTATATGCTTTTAGCTGATGATACGAATAGTAAATAATACTTGTTAGATTAAACTAATAACTAAATGTCTCCATGTATGTTTGTCACTCATGCATGAAGCAAAGCCATATTAGTTTTAAATATACTTTAATGTATATACAAAGTGTGTTCATGCAGTAACGATTTATTTGTCTGGCATTTTCATTTAATGCAAAGAAAAAATGAAAATGCTTTATTTTTGTACTGTTTGTAGTTCGAAAAACTCCTAATGAAATCCATAAATATAAATGTAAAGTTTTAAAAAACAAATATTTTAATGTACTATTTTGTATGTTTCAGAATACAACTTCTGGGTACGGAATGGATGACGATTGGTTTGAGAGTTTATTTGAAGATCCAGTACTTAATGACAAGATGATGTCTGATGCATCTCAACCAACTAAAGTCAACACTGAACACAGCTACTCGATGGACAAAGATGAACCTAGCTCACCACTCGGCCTTATTCGCATGGACGATTATGGAAAAGGTATTTTCAGTTGCACAAGTTGCTTGTACAATGTTCTGTAAAACCTTTCTAAATCAAGCTCTCTGGGACTGCCCAAAAGTGATCACATTTCAACATGTTGGCAATGAGAGCGGGGAAATTTTGGACGGAGAAAAAGTGTTCACATTGAGAGGTGTTCAGATTATAAAGGTGTTAAAATCTCTTTTTCTATTTGAGATTAAAGACACACAGAAAAATAAATTATGAATAAAGGTAATATAATCCATTAAACTATTTTAAGAATAAGTTATATAACATTTAAGATAACGTTCTACACAGAAAGGGAGTTGAAATAGATAGAAACATTACTTTGATCTGATTTTGGGTTATTTCTAGGGTTGTTTTGCAGCTTTTATCAAAAAGTACACATTTGACAAAATTTGCAAGATGCACCACGTATACATACCCTCAGTTTCTGACTTTATACAGGGTGACCATTATTGTAACTGCTTAAAAGTCTGTGATGGACTAATCTTAAGTTAGCCCAAGAAGTGATGTTTATTTTTAAAGTCAGGGTAAAAGATTGAAAGATGATAAATTACATGAACTGGCAGTTAGTTTGCCCGGGCATTGGCAGTAAATGTCATTACAATATGACTCACTTGTCCCCCCAGCTATACAACAATGATATATCACCCTATATATTGCTATATACCCTTGTAAAGTCTCTATGTATCAGTAGTTAGACTGTCTTAATCCTAGCTTATCTTAATGATTGAACTGATTTTGTTTCAACAGGTACATTTTGTAATTTTTCTCACTTGTGAAAATAGTCTGGCTCTATGTTAGTTGCTCAAAGTTATATGTGATACTGAAATTAATTGCTAACCTTTTCTGTGATTTAGTGGTATGATACCTTATAAATTACAGATTATACAGTCTTGGTATTCAATAATTGAAGTACAATGAACTACAATTCAATATTGTAACTTGAATTATTGATTCACAATGTTCATGTCAGTCGAATTCTTGACTGCAGAATATATAAGAGGCCATGCTAGATAATCATCAACATTATGTAAAACTGTCTCCCAGATCGAAGCATTGTTTATTTTGGTCAGTGCATCCTCGTATTTGTATTTTCATGTGGTTACAAAATGATTTGATTTTAAAACTTGATTTTATTCTTAGCAGACCATTTTACACCATTGTTCTAATTGTTTTTGACGAATTTTCAGTTATAAAATATTTTCATTTTGATTTCTTTATTTTGTAGTCTCGACGGACATGGATCTTGAACAATACAACTCCAACACTGCACTAGACCTAACACAGAAAACATCACAGCCCCAGATACAGATCAAACCAGACCCAGTTCACATGGTAACCACAACACACAGCACAATACTACGGCAACCAACCATCGTCCTAGCAACATCACAAGCAGCACCATCTGCTGGCGAAAGTTATCTCATACCAAAAGTGAATATAAAAGTTGAACCAGGTGACACATTTGACCAGAGTAGCAACAGTAGTATGGGTAAGTAACATTTTTTATGATTTTAAAGACTAAAAGAAGAAGTTTCAGCTGTTGTGTATCTCCTTAAGGATAGACATATAAAAGCAAGTTGCAAGACTTGTCCTGGGAGAGAATCAATGTACATGCTGCTTTCGCTAAGAAAGTGAGATCAGCTGGTTAAATTTATTGTATTCCTTTAGGGATTGAGAACTGTTTTACAGAGTTTTAATTGGATCTTTCTGACAGTATTCATTCTGATTCTCATCACATCTTTCTGTTTCACTAATTACATGCTCTAGCATCTCATAGCTGAGGAGAACTGAGATGTCATGGTGTAACATGATGACAGTATTTGGTCAATTTATTGTTTATGTAGAGTTGGAAAATTCATTCAATACTTTTTACAATATTAGACATCCTGTAAGCCTTGCTTGAATCAAGTGCCGGATTTCCAATATCCTGTGTATATTTCTTGAACGATCCAATTATTAATGAAGGCCACTTATGATATTAATAAAGGATAGTGTGAGAAGGGAGGAGAAGTGATCTGAATATTTTTTGTATGAATTGCAAAAAAAGAACAACAAATCTCTATTCATGTAAGATTATCATTCTGCCGGTTTTTTTCTGAGTTTAGGTATTATTTCTTGCTTATTGTTTTACATAAGAATCCAATTGCACAGCTACAGCTCCCTTGTTTTTAATAAGTAAGATTTTGAATGGTGCTCAGGGGTTTTCATTAGAATTTCTCACAACAGGCTAAATAAATGTAAACAACAGGCAAAATTAATGGAAATCATAATTTTAACATGGAAAAGTTGAAAAGTCCCTTAAAACAATCAGCGATTTTGTGAAAACAACCTGCGAAAATTGCCTGTTGCCTGCTCCTAATGAAACCCATTGGTGCTTATCTATTGATGGAAAGTCGAAACAATCGTAGCTTTGATGGATCAATTGAGATCAATATGTGAACAGAGTCCTATACTGATTAAGAATTAGCATGCTAATCAATATTAATTATTTTCATTTGTTCAAAGGGCATTCACATAGTTTTACTGAACAAATAAAGTATACATTGTATCAGACATGTGAACAGTGAGGAACATATTTACAGGTCCGGAACTCCTAGGGAAATTCCCACCTCAAATTGTTTAAAAAATATTTGACATATTTATATGATTTTTAATTGTGGAACATGCACTTAGTGCCTGGTTCTATAGCTTGAATTACTTGAATTATAAATATCTTTTGAAAGTGGAATATTGTTTTTATAAGTATGTAATATAAATGACTGTGACAGAGTTCGAGACATTGACTTGCAAGTGCGATATTTGAATGAGGTTGTCCTTCACTTGCAAAAGTTCAACTAGATTGAATTCTCTGTGATTAAGAAATACCTGAATCATTTAGATACAGTAAAACTATGTAGGAAGAACACCTTGATACCTCAAAATATTCTTCAACTTGGCAAGTGTTCCACAAATGGAGATTCATTTTGCATTAAGTGATAGGTAACTGGACTTTGGAAAGTGTTCCATTTAAGGAGGTGTTCCACTAACAGAGGTGTTCTACTTCACAGGTTTTACTGTAGTTGAAAATAATAATCGAGGTTTTCTTGTAGGATTAATATTCTGATAAGGGTTAGAGAAAATATGTGTTTGTCCCCTTTGACCGCAGTTTCCATAATAACTATCAACAATTCATTGTCAACCGTAACAACTCTTTGTCAACTTTATAAATCTTCAAACAGATTAATGGATTAAAAATACAATGTACTTAATGGATTATCATGGCATTCTGAGCATATTACCAATAATAAAAGTTCCATTCATATTCTTTATGTTTAATTTAATTTAAGGGTTTGGAAAAGTTCTTTTGGTGATAGCAGTATGTGATTTAAGTGCCATATTTAATCATCGTGTTTGTACTTATTTAAGAGTACATACTTTTTTAGACACTTTTGACCCTAAAATCATCTGAATAGAAAAAGTCAATATGCGTGCCAAATCTTCACATGAAAATTAGTTCCCACAGCTTGTAATATTGTGGTTGTTTTGAAAAATAATTGTTTTTTAAGAATTTTTGGTGCCCTGCCCATTTTATTGATTTTAACAAAAAATGTTTCCTTTTCATTTTTGGCGGAAATTATTGTAACTAAATCTCCTTCAGTTACAGGAACAACATTTTTTATAAATATACACTACAGTATTTAATTATGAGGTTTGTCAATGTTGTGTGTGGTTTGCAATATTTTATGATTAGTGCAGTGTTATAGATAGAAACTATTGCATCATACAACTTACCATATTGATTTTTAAATCTACATTTAAGATAGACACTATGAACTTACCAGCATATTGTTGAAATATTTCAAATAAGATAATCTATGGTAGAAAATGTGTTATATTGTGTGATGGCCTGTGATGGTATAAATTGTTTGTGAAAAGGTAAGATGGAGTAGAAAATAAGACAAATGGGGAGGGGGGGGGGCACAGAGACCTGAAGAAGGCATTATGTCCAACCATGTCATTGTATTTCATCCCAGTATGATGTTCATGAAGATTTGATGATATCAGGATGTGGAAATGATAAATTTTAATTACTGTAGATTGGGTTAATTTGGCGCCCGCTTTAATTTGGCGAATTTGGCGAAATTGAAAAATTCGCCAATATAAATCTTCGCCAAAATTTAGAATGAATCCCCGGGAATTATCTAGGGTATTTCGTCCAGTGTATTTAGTTCACTTCCGGTTTAGTTATTCCAAAAATATGAAAAAATGTCTCTCATAAATTGGCTCAAACACTCATTAATACTCAGGGAATTAGAAAGGAAAAGCGCGGTATAGTAGCAGCATCGATCGAGGTGCAAATTGTAAAGGATGATCTCACAAAAATGTACAAACATGGTGAATATCGCCAGTGGTCCTCAAAAGAAAAAATGAACATAGCCAAACATGCCCATTTACATGGTAATTCGCAAACAGCACGTAAGTTAACATTGCATTAAAATTTTTTGCAAATCCGCCAAATTAAGTAGCGCCAAATTAACCCAATCTACAGTAACCAACCATGCTACCCTTTTTATCTGTATGTATGTTCTCTTATGTGTTATTGATGTGTTCTAGGTTACGATAATGTCTCCCTACCCCCTACACCCCCAAGCAGCAACACAAGCGACAGCGAAGGCTCACTTAGTCCCCAGAGGTCTCCACCATCTAGTCCTATACGCCACGTCTCAGTACGACATCCAATCAGACATATTACTCAACCATCACAACCCCTTTTCACAAGTCCAGTAAGTACATACGTACATTATAATATGTGTATTATTTTTGTGCTAAAGTAAGTAAAATTGGGTAATGTTTGACACACAACAGCAACTGATTAAAGCAATGATCTGTTAATTTCATTTGGGACAATTACTAATTTGCCATGTTTTATGGGAGTCTGAAATCCACTGAGACTCATTGCGTATTTTGACCAATATGACATCATTTGGGAGTTGGATCAGGGTGGGATGGTTTTTGTTATTATTGTTGGCGTGATATTCATACATAATGAAGATTAATTACACTGGAGTATATCTGGCAAATCATGCAACATGCTCTTTTATATCGCTCCTAGTCTTGTAAAAGCTTGATTATCCCATTGCGTATGTGCCACAGTGGTCTTGTTTGAATCGCATCATTTTGTGAAGAAAAAATGAAAATTAGCATAAAATAAAGTACACAAGCATGTTATTGTGTAATTGAATAAGAAAATAAAGTAAATTCTGCACATTTTGCAAAGAAATTTTGTGAAAAAAGGGTGATTTGTTTGATTCTTTATTTGTAGGTTCTTGTCATGCATTGTGTATTTAATGTCCCAGTTGATGTTTTTATCATGTTCTGTTCATGATTTCATCTTCATGACATACATGACAATACCATTTTCATTTCCTGTTTTACAGTCATTGTTCCAATAGAACTTGAGTGATAGAATATGACACACGTCACACATATATAATCTGATAAAAAGCAATGACTGCTAAACTGTATTAGGGGTTCATATTGACATTATATGATGTTTCGGAGATGTTTTCTGTTCCAAGGATTGGCAGCCATTATTCAAATGCGTCTTCCATTTCCTGGCATGAAGCCTTTTAGTGATGATATTTCTATGAAGTTCATTTTTGAACAAAGTGTCTTTTCTATACATATTATATAGTGTACAGTATTATAGTGATGTCCAACCTTCTTTGGCTGATGATCGAGTTTAAATAATGGCTGCTTATCCTTGCTTCTGTTCAAAACTGTGTATAGACAATCTTTGTCGTGACACACTCCATATTAATTCTTTAAATCTGATTCTAGATTCCCCAGAGTGGAGTACTGATACTGTCTGAGGAAGAAAAGCGAACACTTATCTCAGAAGGTTACCACATACCAGGCAAATTACCACTCACAAAACAAGAAGAAAAAAATCTGAAGAAAATTAGACGAAAAATAAAAAACAAAATATCTGCTCAGGAAAGTCGGCGGAAAAAGAAAGAATATTTAGAAAATCTTGAAAAACGGTGAGAATTAAACATTTGTGTTGTTTCAAGTGAAAAATATGAAGTTGAAAAACTAAATTGCTTTGAATGACATTTACATCTGTTGTATCATTGCATTTATATTGCAATAGACTACAATGCAAAGGAATCCAATTAATGTCATATTGACCTTGTTTGTAAAATATTTAAAATGACAACATATTGTGTTGTATTTACTGTGAACAACCACATTTGATTAATGCTTTTATTGATTGTATGATTTGTACAATTTAAAAAACTATTTTTGAAAATTGTGTGTTGCACAAATAAATTGGACCGACTTTTCGAAGGGGTTGAGGGTGAAGTCCACAAATCCAGCAGTGGCACTGTATATCATTACAATGATTCATCCAGAGTTGAACAACCAGGTTTTTCTGTCATTTGAGTAGCGAATTGAAAAATAACTCCATTGAGAATGTCTTTTCTATTTCTTAATTGTTTGGAATCATAAAATGGCATCCAATTTTAGAAAAGGGTTGTTTGGATTCCAGGGATAGAATCATGGCTAATCTGCAGTTTGTTAAAATAATTTACAATAACCATGGAAACCCAGTATACAACGTTCATTAATGATGTTTAGTGTTATTAAACCCTCTTGGCATCTGTAATAAAATATATGAACTCCACCTCAATCTCATTTGACAAATGGATGGATCCTGAAATTATGTTTCCAAAATGACAGGTTCCTAGTCAACCCTCGGGATTTAATTTGAATATTATTGTTGAATTCAGATCCCAACCCCGCTCACCTTTAAGAATAGCAAAACAATTTATGACCATGTACTCTTTCAAATAGAGATGCAATGAAAAGTACTCAAGATGTAAATGGGAGGTTGTAGGTTCATATTCCAACAAGGTGGAATGACTTTCAGATCACCCCTTCACATAGGATTTCATCCTATTTTTCAAATTAGAAATTAATGACAGCAGCCTAACTCTTGTAATATTTTAATTTTTCAGAGTAGAACAGTTTACATCAGAGAATACAGATCTTAGGAAAAAAGTTGACAATCTGGAGAATAATAACAGGTCCCTCATATCTCAACTGCACAAATTACAGGCACTTGTTGGAAAAGCATCTGCATCCACGACACAAGCTGGAACTTGCCTTATGGTGGGTATTTTCTCAGTTAATAATTTTAATTACATTACATTAAGTCCTGGCATACCATTCTCCCAACGTCTCCTAAAAACATGTGACTTATTAAGTCGATGTCAAAATGCTAATGCATATTTTTTCAAAAAGGGAGGAAATGCCAGGATTTGATTCTAAGCTACAGTGTTGCAAAATGGTTCCACATTTCTACTTCTAAAATCATGGAATTTATAAGAAGGTCCGTAATTGTGGAATCATGCAGTTAAACAATAAAGCCAAATAAAGCATTTCAATCAAATTCTACCACCTATTATAAGTCAGTCTCATTTAGTGGTATGTTTGATATACAGGGTGGGCCAAACAAAATCCATGCATTTTCAAAAATGTAGATATTTGTTTTGGCCCATCCTGTTAATGTTTTTGGTAGTAAGTTTGAATAGTTAAGAAATGGCCTTATTTGGCTTTTTAATTTGCATGGTTTGATGATGTACAGTATATATTTGCACCAATAGGTAATTCATTGGTATGACAATGGTATTTTAACATGGTGGTTAATGTGTAAAATGGGTGAGTCTGCAATCTGTCACATGAAATTTATCTGGTTTATTTCTTATCAGAAAAATAAATTGAAAGCATTCTCAGGGCTACAACACGCTCCTTAATAATCTCCATTTTTTCGAATGATATTGAGTGAAGAATAATGAAGGTCAGAACACAGATTAAATGATATTGCCAAATCTCAGTAATCCACTTTCGAAAGATATTGCCAACTCTCAGACATATTGTTAAGTGTCAGAAAAAACATATTGCAGTCTCAGACATGGGTCACGTTGATCGCCATATTGATATTAGTTCATACCAATGTCAGTCACACAGTGTTTATCTAACATTATTAAGTGGATTTACGTCATGTTAAAATGTTCGTTAGGTTTCATGATGACTGAAACAATGAACTTAATAAGTAAAAGACGTATGATGTAAATGTAGGTTATGTTGAGGAAAATACTCTAGTTTCTAGACACAGTTCATGGATAAAGTCACTTTTTGTCATGATAGAGAATTAAAATCATGAGGTAAACATTTGAAATCAAACTTGGGAAAGGACCATTAATCATGGTAAACATCCAATTATCACAAAAATTGTGTCAATGTGTCAAGAAACATATTTAATTTTCCTTGGCCTTGTAACACATGCAGCTGAGCTGAGGTATCATGGGAAAAAACTAGAGATTTTTTTTGAGTTGGGCTGAATCATCGTAGCTCCACTCAGTTCTAGGGAGATAATTTTCTGGGTATATATTCTTGGGTAGAAATCTCTGGGTTATGATTTCTCGTGGTTGAAAATCTTGTGATTGGTCAGAGTTATGTGTTTTTTCTGAGATATGGTACATTTGCTTTTTTGACGAATTTGTTCAAAAAAGTTGAAAAATCAAACAATGATATATCAGTCATTAACCAATGAATAGGCTTCAGCTCAGCTCTGTGGCGGGATTTCTTGCAGACGGCAAGAGGTAACATTTTCATCATGGTCATGTATCTCTCTAAATTTTGCAAGAATTAATATCTTCATTTTCAAGAGTTTTTCACTAGTTCAATATATGAACTATGTGCCTGTTCATGATATTCCTTGTATATTCCTCCCTTGTTGTTGTATTTCTTCAAACAAAACATGACCACCGTGAAATGTAAAACGACGGTGTTATGTTTTCTTTCAGGTTATGGTTCTCTGCTTTGCAATCTTTGTCCCTTACTACTCTCCTTCAACACTCAACATTGGATACACAAACTCAAACACAAATAACGTCAACTCATTTTTTCCCGCGGGAGCCCCAGCAAGTCCTATGGCTCTCAAACCGTCCCCCAATATGGGTCCTTCTGTGAATGTCATTAAAGCAGAAGTGAGGGTCGATGACTCATATGACACACCAAGCAGTAAGTATTGCGGTGGACAAATCTTTGGAGATCAACTTGGAAATAAATTTTGAAATATTTTTCATTAATTTCGGAATTAGCATTTGAATTCAGAAATAGAAGGCGTACTTTATTTCTGTTGGTGTCTGGTGGGGTTAGGACTCAATGTGAGGAGGGAGTGAGGGTTGGGGGTAATTAGCCCACAAATCCCCATGCTCCCTAACAGGCCTTTACCCCATATGTAAAGCTTGATGGCCTGAATAGCAATTGAAGAGAATGAATACAGATACGAATATTGACAAACTTTGAAACACACTGGGCTAATTACCCCTAGATTGAATCTAAATGGCTATATGGATAATTAGTATTTTGCAGTAAATACATGTGCCGTATAACATTTTGCCAGTGGATATAAAAAACAGGAAAATCAATATGATGAAAGGACATTTAGTTTACAAATCAATACTTCAATATTACTGTTTAATTTTGAAATACATGTAAAAAGGTTAAACCATAATTGAAAGTTTAAATTACAACCCCTGAAAGCATGTTTATGATTTATTGAAAAAATGTGTGTCAGCTGTTCAGTATATTTCACTAAATTTAACGATTTAAGCATGAAATCTGAATAATAAAAAAATTATAGTCAATGAATATAGATATTTCGATTCATATATTTACTTCTAAAGCAGCTGTTTGCAGAAACATATTTGCAATTTAAAAAGTACATTCTAGTATCAAAATGACATGACAATATATGTTCTGACATTACCATGATTTTTATGGCATCACAATTACTATAAATATGTCACAGTTACTATTATGACATCATAATAATTTTTGTCTGTTTGTTTCAGTGCGTTCAAGAGTGCTCCTGTCGTTGAAGGACGAAGAGGCTGAATATGGGCCGCATACACCTCTAGGCTACTTTCGTCAATTTACTAAGTTCTTCAACGTAGAAACTTGCGTCACAAGCCTTGACACACAAGATGATGACATCATCATGATGGAGCGGGCAGAACCAGTAACTATGACAGCGGAGATTCCCGAGCCAATCAGGGACCTTGAAAATCACACAGAGGTGTTGCACGCTACGATGCACCCTGATATCGCAGCTGATGTTTTACCAGTCATTTCTACTGAGAAACAAAACAACACTGCATAAGCCAAATAACTATGTGTTTAACATCATTCATAGCTTTAGGCTAAGCAAAATAAATCTATGTTACCAGCTCCAAGAGTTGATACCAACAAGCATAACTGGTCCAAATAATGTTGGTTCAGTTAAGACTTCCCAATCGAAATTGACTTGTTGGACAAAATGAAAGCAAGCTGGTTTGAACTATGCTGCAACATCAACACTTGTGACTTCTTCAAGCGTTCTATAGTAGAGGGAAGGGAAACTAGAAATTATAGTCGCTGATCCTAGATTGTCGCTATGGCAGCAACTCAGTCATGGCTGCAATTGTCATCAGCTAAAAGTAGTAAAGTAATGACATCTATATTTCCGAGTCTTATGAAAATATAAGAGTAATGTGTAAATGTTAGGTGAGTGATGAAATCACAAATATTAAGTATGACTGTGTGTTGTGTGTATGTAAATGCCACCTCGACCTTACATCTTGATTAAAGTGTCACTCTAGCCATGCCTATTCCAACTGTTACCATGACAACCATTGTGACATCATCATACAATGAAAAAGACTGCATGATTTTCTGGCAGTTCTAGCACTCTACAAGTACATGCCTAATTCCTTAATTCCATTGCTAATTTTACTTTTAGCAGCCTATTTTGCATTTAAATTGGCTCAAAGTGACAATTCACTTAAGATGCTTCTCGAAGAAGGTCAAGGTCATATGCATCCACAATTATTTTATTGAATAAATCTATTTTAAAAGATCCGGGGAAGTCGTGGTTTGACTAAATTGCGACAACCTTGGGCATCAAAAACAGAATGAACTATTATATTTTTGCTATAATCTGTACATAAACATACCATATATGGTCAATGGGGCTCAGATATGCGATTTTGTGATCCACACGTTGTGCTTTTTGTGATGTAGGTAATTCTAGTAAAGCACTGTACTGTAGTAACTTATTTTGGGAATTTTCAAATGTAGTTATTGAGTAATAGCTATATCCTAGCTTCTGATTTGAGTACTAGTCTTATCCTATTTTATCTCAATTCAGTCTAAGTTGGTACTTCTGTTTTTTTCTCGTAATGTCTCACACTACTGGCTCATTATGGTGATGGTATATTTTTGTAAATATTTTCACATTTTTGAATCATTGAGTTAGCATGTTAAAGAGTCATGTTCAAGTTAGAATGTTAAAGAGTTGGTCCTACTTGCAAAGGCCACAATGCAATAGTGTATCAACATTAACGTTGTCTCATGACATGCACACAATATGGCAAAGTATATGATAGAATTTGATGTGTATGCATCAGATTTAGTATATTGCCATATACTTTGTACAGTCTGATAAATCGGGCATTTATTCTAGGGACATTCAACTATTGTAGCAACTAAGAGTAAAATACTGATTTAATTTTTAAAGATAAGTTTACTCAAATTGAGTAAAACTGTATTCTTGAGTAACTCTGCATTCGACTATGAGTAAGAGTATTGAGTAAGATAGGTATATCTTGAGTATATTGGGTTAACTCAACGTGTAACTTGAGTAAATGAGTAGATAGAGTAAATGTATTACAATGCGACAACATGCAATATTAGAACTGTAAATAGTTGTAGATACAAGAGCCATCATATTGTAGAATATAAAGAATATATACAATTTATATGGCATCCACATAAAGTTTCATTTCATTGAACAAAATGCATACAAGTATAGCATGTATGTATATGCCTTTGTCTGTTGATGTGAAGCCTTATATGGTCAGCCAGAATGTTATAACATAGCAAATATTTGTTTGAAATATCTTTCAGCAATTCGGAAAATGTTGCAATATTAGATTTTATTATTCAACTGGGAATTTTGTTGAATAGTATGGTTAGTAATATTATTAGCCAAAATATCATTGTTAATTCCAAAAATCAATTTATTTACTTATTTATTTGTTAAATGAAGGAGAAACCACAATTTGTTTAAATAGGCGCACAGTCTTATATATAGGTATTTTAAATAGTTCCATTGATGACCAATGTTCTCAAAACAAGAAACTAGATGTTGTTCAGTAATTACTAATTAGGACCTGCTTGATTTATTTCATTTTCCAAAATTATAGTTTTTGCAATATCATTTTTAATATCATATTTCCTTGGTCAACAAAGAACATATTTTGATCTCAAAATAGTATCAAAAGTAGATAGATATATTGAGTGAATTTACTGATTATTTACTAGAATTGCAGAGGAAGATTATTTATTTAAATGTACATAGTTTTAAATGATCAGTTCTCAAATATATGTACATTCAATATATACTGTGTAAGAGTCCATGCATGAGCAGGCCCTATATTCAGAAAGCATTCTGCAATTGCTGCTTGTAATATACACAAAAAAATAAATGTGTAATCTTCATATATGTACTTGTATACTAGAATCTGATTTGTACATGTACTACATATACATGTTCTGTACATCCTAGTGTACTTACATGTAAAGTACACTAAATATCACTTGTACACAATTTCATGTTTTTTTCTCTTTATTTCTCATTCATCCATTTAGACAACCATTTTTCAAGCTATATGTTCAAATAAAGATGAAATTTTGATTTAATAAAATAATAGTGAAGTAGAAACTGAAGGAAAACCTAAATGAAAACATGATTTTGTATGCAGGTGCAAAGCCATTGGTATATATTGGTCTTATATAGAGGCATATATAGTTGTTTATATATACACTGCTGGTGAGAGATAAGTGTAAATAATGGGGTATTTGGATGAGGTAATTAGAAGCAGATCTTAAACATACTACAGCTAGAATCCAAAACATTTTACACTCCTCTCACATTTTCCTTGAGAGGAATACCTTTTGTTTGGTTTTTATGAGGTTACTACTAATAATACGAAATGAATGCCATGGAGATTATGTGGGTATACTGACCTCTGTACTAACATATGATGTCCAATTTTTATAGTTTTTTTGTTTTGTTTCAGACATTACATTGTCTTTTGCCAAGATATATTGATTGAGGAATTATTGCTCAAAGTTTGATCAGAATTTGATAAAAAAATTGTTTTCTGTCAGATGTTTTTGGGAAATTTGACAATGCATTGATGTGTAAGAAGTTTAAGTAACTTCTATAAGATATTTAGATGATTATTTTGTACAGGGTGTCCCAAAACAAATATAAGTATGTGCTCCGTATAATGAAATTCTCATAACCTAATTGATCGTCACTGAGGCACTATGGGTAAATCATCCTGTGTTTTATTTATAAGTAACACCCTTGGGCATATAGTATTTTTCAGTTTCACTTTGTACTATCTTTTAATTTTGTACAATTGTCACAAATGTAGATCTCTCAGATCTATATTCAGTTACCATATATAAAAATGTTTTGTAAAAACTTTGGTGAAGGGGAAAAAGTGAATACTCAAAAGAATATCAAATGTTCAGAGTACTCAAGTAATCGATGGTACTCAAGTACACAAAATAAAATGAAATTAATTGAGTTGATTTGTCCATTAATAATGTGTGGAGATATTTTTAAGTCAGGTTTTAGATCAATAAAAAAAGTTAGTTGATTTTCGAGGTGGTCAGATAATTGTCTATAAAGTGAATAAGCTTGAAATATGTACAAACAATGGAAGTTGTAGAATGCATAATAGCAAAGAATTAAAAAAATATAAAAAGAAAATAAAATTCTAAGAAACATATCTTGATATTATGTTGCAGTATCTGTATTGTATTCTAATTTCAGAAGAAATTGAATATTATAATAAAACTTGAAAGATTCAAGCAATTTTGTATGAAAATAGAGATTATTTAATTGGAGGGATGGAATTTAAATTTTATTCCATGGGAAAAATGATTGACCAAGGGCGATAGCCCTAGTCAATATCATATTTTCCCAAGGAAAAAAATCATATTCCATCAATAACCTATCTATTCCATAATATTTTTCTGAAACTTATTCATTTTCAATTTTGATTGTCATCACCAAATGATGGTGACATATAATGATACAATTTGATTTATCATATAACATTTTCAAAGGAGGGCGAGTTGTTTGTAGAATGAATCGGGGGATTTTTTTCATGAATTTCGCTTATGTTTTTCATCCAAAAAACATCAATACACTTTAAAACATTTTGTTTACTTTAAGATTACACCATGTAATCCAAAAATATATTTCTCATTTTCAAAGATAATCCATGGATTAACACCCAGGTATTTTTATTTTTCAATCTTCAGAGGGCTGGGAATCAATGATGCTCAACGCTTTTGAATACGATAAATGCTGTTTTAAATAGGTTTTACGTATGCCAATAATTTCTCAAATTATGAAAGCTGAATGCATTCCTTAATCCCTAGAATGCCTATCATAATAACATTCTTTTGTCTTGGCCACTTAATATGTTCTGTTGCTGTCTGATCATCAAATCAAATTGTTGTTATTTAAAGATGTCAGTCAAATCTGGTGAAACAGCACAACATTTACCTAAATAGCACGAGTACATATTATGTAACTCATCCATAATATTTCATGCATCAGGTATTAAGGCTTAGGGGATTAACTTTTACACATAAACTGAACTGACAGGTGTGTATGCTTACATGTACAACTTCCAGGATTGTAAGAATTCAAAACTTGTTGATAGCCATATTTTCCTGAATGTGACATCGAGATATTATGGCATTTATGAGTGGTAAAACATGAAAAAAAGCATTTTCATTTAAAATTAGCATATGATTTGAATTGATGCCAAGAAATGTATTAGTTAACTGTATCCGTTTTACATCCGTTGCAGTTGGCTACATTATAAGACAAGGCATTCACATGCAAAATGTCAACACCTGCCATTTGTTACAGACACCAACTGCCAAACACCAACTGCCAAATGATAAACACCAACCACTGAACACCGTCCACAAAAAAGTTTGAGACCATAACAATATGTCACCACTTGTGGTGGTGACATAAAAATGATCATGGAAAATTGTATCTAAAAGGATTCTGGCTTTAAGATATTAGGGTTATAAATTGCAATGAAACTAAAACAAAACATTCTTTTTCTCAAATATCACAGTGTATATTCAAATCACAAATACGATATCATACAATTACAATAAGGGTCTAGTGCACTTTCCATTATGATATCCCCATGAACAAAATGAATCATTTTTAGGTGTAACATAAAGAATACAATGTCACATAATACTTTGGAAAATATTTGAGCGTTTGGACCCACATGGGCTGAGGTTGAGGTCATTTAGTTCAGCAAGGGTGTATTGACTTGCCATTGAATGGGCTCCATTGACTTAACATGTGGATATCATCAATTCCAATAGAGGCCATTGGTTTCTATTGATTTTCACAAAAATACCTAAAATACACTATGACCTGAATCGATTGCAAATTAAATAATTTCACAGTATGACACAAATGGTATATCACATCAGATGTGCAAATATAAAGTTTGCAATCGATTCAGGTCATACTTCAAATTAAAAGATTATACATTTTTTCCATCATTTTTTTCCTACAAAATGGCTATAGAAAAATGCTTCAAAAGCAACTTTTACACTAATGAAATCCCATACAACTTTGTAAATCCAAAGATTATACTGTTATGTTTCATTAATTAATAACATATTTGGATAATATGTTGGGATGTGTAGGATGCAAATGGATTTTGACAGACACAAAAAGACTTCTTGGTTTGGCATCTCTACCCCTGTACACTTTATGATTGAATATTGGCCCTAATAAGTGGCCCATTCATCAATACAGTGCTGAATATAGGTCAACAAGATACTAGTGTACATATAAATGTAATAATACCTATAGCTAGGTCTGAATATTAAACTCCAGCCAAATAGAGCCAGCACAATATTTCAACCTTTGTAACCCTTGCAAAAAGATTTTCTTGCAATAAAAATGTGAAAATAGCTTAGGGTACTTGTAAGCCAATCTGATTTTAAGGTCTCGATATTTTTCACTAATTTTCATGATTATAAATACCGATAATCAATGAAAGGGACAATATTTTCACATTTGTAATTGTATGTGTATGCATGGTCCATGGTGTATGTTACCATAATTCTTTATATCCACTTAAAATGTCAAAAATATTGCCCAAATTATAATTATCAGATAATTTATTCATCACCAAAATTAGTAAAAATTATCAACATACAGAACTACCTAGTTTAATCTCTCACTCAGTCACAATCATGTCAACCAAAACTGTACTTGTATTACATAATATAGGATTATACAGCTTACCATACGTGTGCAATCCATATAGCATCCACACTGACATCTTTACAGAATCATATATAATTTTTGAATATAAACTAACTCAACCCAAAAAGGCGAGTACTAAAGAATTTACTTACCTGCCATCTAAAAATCTGCTTGGAACTACCATTGGATTACCATTGGATTCCTCCAAGAGAATATTCTAGGGATTATGGAATGCATTCAGCTTACATAATTTGAGAAATTATTGGCATACGTAAAGCCTATTTAAAACAGCATTTATCATATTCAAAAGCGTTGAGCATCATTGATTCCCAGCCCTCTGAAGATTGAAAAATAAAAATACCTGGGTGTTAATCCATGGATTATCTTTGAAAATGAGAAATATATTTTTGGATTACATGGTGTAATCTTAAAGTTAACAAAATGTTTTAAAGTGTATTGATATTTTTGGGATGAAAAACATAAGCGAAATTCATGTAAAAAATCCCCCGATTCATTCTACAAACAACTCGCCCTCCTCTTATTAAGGAGTTTTAAAAAAGAACGAATAAATCAAAAACTTCTGCGAATAGTTCTGATACGGGATTTTGGCTGAAACAGGAGCTAAGAAAAAAAGGGATTGAAAAGTGTTCCGATTGGGAGGTGTTTGGATAAGCCAGGTGTCTGGATATAAAATATTTACTGTTATGGAAGTCTAAATTAAAATGACGAAACAATAAATAGGAAAGAAATAGAGAATCTACTCTATCCTATCTGTATACTAAATTTTGAAAAAAATCAGTTAAGTGTAGTATCAGAATCGCAAAAATAATGAAAACTGTAAAGACCTACATTTTGACCCAGGACTTTTAGTGTCCAAATTTTGAAATAAGTTTGACTTTGAGGTTATGTAAAAAAAATTAAACATAAAGAGGGTTTAACACGTTAAATGAGGGGGCTAAGGTTGCCAAACTTTAGGAGGGTGTGTAGCTTGTGCAATCGTTACGTTTCACTTCACGCAAATACTAATTATGATATACAAAGTCGAATTCTGTGGCAAATAAGAAAGTTTCTAAATAGCTGAAAAATTAATGAAATCCAGTCCTGCCATCTTTTATTCAGATTTTTCTTGGACAAATTCTTCGAAAAGTGACTTTATTTCATGATTTATCAAAAAGTGTTTGTTGAATCTGTTTAAAACTTGATTGATATATCATGTGATGGCCCTTTTAACATACTTATTGTGGTATATCATCAAATTTTGGGTTGTTAAACTAATAACCAAGGCTTTGAGAGATTTTAAATATTGCATCAATGGAGATTCGGTCCAAGTTTTTTTTAAATCATGGAAAATGATTTGAAATAACATAACTGTATAATATCAATAACTAATATAATATATACAGAATATCACATCATTTTGAGTGATATCATTTTTATCGCCGAGTTGATATCAAATATCAACGTAACACGAGTGAGCGAAGCGAATGAGTGTTGATATTTGATATCTACGAGGCGATAAAATGATATCACGAGAAATTATGTGATATTTGGTTTATCCCATAATTACGATCACCTTGTGATATAGTTCGTCATAAATACAATTTTTTATTCGTTATTTAGCAGCCTTCTAATCAAATTATATACACAATCGTAATTTAATACACCAATGAAACTTAAAGAGAATAAATTAACGGACCTTTTTTCTCAAAAGAGAATAAATTATCTGACCTAATTTCCAACAATATTGTGGCGCGAAATGCAAATGTGATATCACACGGATATGCGTGAGATAAACGATATCACACGCATATGAGTTTGATAAACGATTTTTTGGAAAATATCACACGGATTTCAAAGATATCAGAAATATCAATAGCTGTTATTGTACAGATAACACATTAATCGTGGGATAAAGAGGTATAATATGCAAATCTTAAAATCTCACAAAAATCGAGATTTGGTGAGATTTCAAAAGCTATATGGAACCTATACTATTGATTCCCGCTGACACATTACATACCATTTGTGATCTGAAACTAGTTATATGCCGCGAAAACAGACATGCGCTAAATATTAAATATCAGCGATATCATGATAAAATGAACGTATGGAAGTGTTGTTAGTTCATCATCGTAAAGTGTGACCGTCATACTCGATACTGTAATCATAGAGTAAACGGTTATATTACATCTTTAATTTATAACATTACTACTAAACATCATAAAGCATAAATAACCAGATAACGTGGAAAAAAGAGAAGACTTCGTACATCACAAGGATGGTAATACATTAAATATTTATAAGAGATGCAGTAATGGAGCTCCGAAAAATGATAACATGAAGTTGAAAGTTGAATTATTATCACCTTGCCGGGCCAGTTCTAGGGGTTTTAGTGCTAGTTTAAAAGGCGTTTATTTTACTTTATTATATACCTCAAATGTATTCTAGAAGCTCATTGGCTTATTCATGGTCACATGACATGGAATAGATGAACTAATTCCCTGGAAAGTCCTAAATCCCTGCTTTCAGGGAAGATGAATTGTACTAATCACCAGTTAGGTCATGTGACCAGTCAATAGTACATTTTATCTTCCCCCAAATCTGAGATTATAGGAGTTGAAAGGTAAAATGCCTTTAAATGCCAATAAGAACCTGTGAACATTTTATATTGAAATGAAAAGACTTCTCATTTTGTTTTTGTTTACAGAGTACTTATCAGGTATATAATAAAACAAATAGTGACTGCCACATTTTCGGGAAATAGTGTAAAAATTTTCCTCTCGGGAATATCCTGTCCACTGACTTGTTCCCTCGGCCTGCAGCCTATTTTGCACTATTTCCCTCAATGGCAGGCACTATTTGTACAATATCGACCTGAGAAATGCGTGACGTCATAGTGGTGGTCCATATGGACCGGTCTAGAATATATTCTGGACCGGCAATTTTCCCCGGGAAATTAGATATCGTGGCCCTCGGTCCAATATTTCACTATATCGCCCTCAGAAATGACGTTATTGTACTATTGTAAGCACGAGAGCAGTCAATAATAGCATGAAATTAAATAATACGTTCTTATATGTTTATTGCATAGAGTAATAAATAACTTGTTTAATCGTTACGTTACACGAAAATGCTAATTATGATTGATTATTATGATTAACTATAATTATAGATTGCAACACATTGTGCAAGTTACCAAGTGATATATTGAGCAGGTAAGAGTAAGAGGTAAGACGCAACAACTTCACTTTATATATGGGTAAAGGATTGGTATCGATATGGTGAACTTTTTGAACGCACGTTTCTCTTAAACCAGTCATCAACAAATTCTGAAAATTTTACACACCGTCAATTTAATGGTCATATTTTGAATAGTAACAATATAATTTGAAAAGATATACATATACTTTTCCCTACATTCTATTAGAAAACACATCACACACTTCTTTTGTTCTTGGTATCATATCTTCAGAATGAAATGAAACATCTTTCCGAACCTCATTGGAACAAAACGACACTCTCAATATTGTAATTGTACAAATGAAATTTTGGTTGATTTTAAAAAGGTATCTTGTTAATGAAATAAAAGGTTTATCTTAATTTTTATCTATTTTGGGGGGTTTTGTTTTAATTTTTTGAATACCTTTTCTTAATCAACCAAAATTTCTTCTGTATAACTATAATATTGAGAGGTCTGAGAAAATGTTGTATATGCTATTTTGTTCCAACGAGGTTCGGAAAGGCATTTTATTTCATTCTTAAGAGCTGGTAGAAAGGAACAAAAAACAATTGTACTAAAAACAAAAAATGTTAACAAAAACAGTTATATAAAATACATATAAATTGTTTTCGCATTAAATTGTCGTCAATCAGTCAACATTACATAAAGGATCGTGTTTTTTACAGAATGTTTTCATAAATTGGTTTAAGAGACAAACATTGTTGAATTCAGTTCTCCATATTGATACCTATCCTTTACGATAATTGATATTTTCAAATATTGTCAAATTCTGTTATTCAAAGCCTGCGCCATGTGTGTTGATATCAACGTCATTTATGTGCTCTATTTTAATGTCAACACAACTGGCTATCATGACCATGCGATATATACTGAAAATATTGCTTATTTATTCTTAAAAACAGCTTTAACGATGCTTTTTTTGACAACAATCTAAGTTTGCTAAAACAAACTCGGACAATATAACAAATAATGTATCTTGTGGTCCAATAATTTCCAACTTGTTAATGAAGTATGTTTGTAACCAGCTCTCAAAAGGGATTTGCTTGATATTTCATACTCATAAAAAGAACACGTTTTATCATGTACATATGCTTTGTATCCTCCAACACATACTCAACACATTCAATATACTATAAGACACTAGATATAATTGAGAATTTATATAACAATCATTTAAAAATACTACATTGGATTAGTTTCATTTCAAAAATAATTTTTTGAAATCGTATTTGTGCGTAGCTGAAATCTGACTGTTTAGAAGATATAAAATATTGGACAGCAAAACCTAAATTCACCATAAAAATAATAATATTTCGTCTGATGTTTTCATTGTCTGTCATTTAAAAGGTAACCCCTAAAGGCACTTTCAACAAGTTATCCATCAACAACCTATCAACAACGTTTATTTAAGCAGTGTGTTGGAGGATACAAATCATATGGACATGATAAGATATATTCTGTTTTACGAGCATGAAATATCAAACAACCCCCTTTCAAGAGCTGGTTACAAACATACTTTATTAACAAATTAGAAATTATCGAAGCACATGATACATTATTTTTTATGTTGTCTAAGTTTATTTAAAAAAATCACAACCATTTAGTTACAATGACGCCTTGGGTGGGCCCAGAAAAAAATAATTGGGCCTCAAAAAAAATTGGGCAATAAAATGCTTTAAGGCCCCAAAAAGTGGGTCCCCTTGGTCATTACTGGGCTTTTTAAGGCCTTATTTTTGATTTCAGGCCAAATTTTGAAGAAAATGGGCCTCAAAATTTCAAAAAAGCGCGTAAGTTTTTTCTCTGACCTGAAATTTGGGCCCCCCTGTTGGGCCCCCCTTGTTGGTAATTTGATTTCTAGTTATCATTCATATATCTAGAAACGTATTGCTGATCTTTGAAATAAGGACGTACCTGTACAATTTCAAGCATAATACTTTTCAACTTAACCCTAATGTGAACAGGGAGGGGGGGTCGGATGACCGTTTTTGCGTTTTGATCCAAATAATTTGAGTAAAATATTGATTTCTCAAAAACTGGTCATCATACATATAATGGAATTTTAGAAGGTCCTGAATATATTTGTTAAACACTATTTTCAAAACAATATAACTTTATCTTTATTAGTTTTTTAGAAATAATTCTATTTGGCTTCCCTACCCCAAGATTTTCCATTCAGCTAGTGTTTTGAGTCATTTCCCGTCTAAATATGCATGTAATTTACAAAAAATAGTGAATGTCCAAATATATGCATCAAAATATTACAGAATGATTTGAAGTATGTAAAAACAAGTTACTTGGAGTAAGTTGCAAATTGCTAGATTTTGAGAAAAAATTGTTTGTTTGTTTGTTTGTTTGTATCCTTTATATAGCGTTATTATGCCGCGTATTGGTCACGTGTTGCTAGTAGATCAAGCGTGCATGCTCTTGTGCGTATATACTTGTTTTTGTACTTGTAAGCAAAGGTCTAAAATTCCTTATACTTTGATATACAGTTTTCATATGTGCTCATATTATAATCCCCTAGTTTGCCTTATTTAGCCACAAAATGCATCAACATTTTTCTGTCATCTGGGATGGCTTGATTTATTTTGAAACATTTTTTTAAATAAGTAAATATAGAACATATATAATATTTTGATTATGAAACATGTAGCATCTATAAATAGAAGCAAATTATACAACTTCTGGCTCAAATATGCTAAATTTCCGACGCGCGAGATTGCGTTTTCAGAGAGGTAATACGTTTTTTTCTCAGTCAAAACTCAAGCAATATCCAAAACTATATATACTGGGGTATGTCCTAGAATGTTATTTTAAAAAAATTATCTATTCAGTTTTTTGGGTTCTGGACTGTGTTTTGTTTCCCCTCCCCCCATTTTTCGACATTTCATTTCTTCAAGTCTTTGGCCAAATTACTCATCTCCAGATATTGAAAAGGTATTTACCCATGATTTTTGTCCTAAAAAGGAATATACATCTTTAACATTTAATACCATTTTCTGGCTAAAAACATGTTGTTTTTAATTGAAAAAGTAAAAAATACGCGAAAAAAGCTCATCCCTATGTTACTTTGACCTACTTTTGACCCCATTTGACCTACTTTTTGAGATTTTAATGCACCTCCCTCGAGAATTTTGAATGACCTATAATATGGTACCTTATTTTATTCTGCACCTCTTTGATAACTTTGGAGACGCCAGGGGGGGGGGTATCTGTCCATTAGTATTATGAAAAATATGTTGTACACATTAGGGTTTAGACCAAAAGAATTAAAAGCATAAGGATTTCAAGACGGTCACAACGAAACAAATAACTGATGATAATTTCGAATATTGTTTTGACTTGAGCACAAATATGAACTCAACCATTGAATTCTTTCAACAAACCTTAGTTTGTTAATATACGCGTCTTAGCAATTAGTTCACAAATAAAAGCCCACTCACATCATTTCATCCTCCTAAGCAGGTATCAAGAATCCGTACTCCTTCTTCAAATGGTAAAAGGGAAGATGGTATTCTGGATTGATTTTGGAGACCTGCGTACGGAAGATGACATCATTCGTGCTTGAAAAATATAGCAAATAAATTGTTTATATATAGGCTACGTGTACCATGATCTTTACCTTACGGAACAGATATGTCCAAGTTACGTTTAACGGTGTCAACAAAAATCAATAAAAATGTAATAAATAAGCGATAGGCTTAATTAGCCTAATTATAAACTCATCAGGTTGACTGTTCGACGATAAAGTGATCATTATGGAAATAATATTTGTTTTCAAACATCTCATAAAAAACTTTAAAAATGCATATAATACATGTAAAACATATTTTCAAACTTTGCATATGACCTTTAAAGAGATATGCAAATATCATTCTATTGCAGGCTGTCATGATATTCATTTGTGCATTTCTCCTTCTTTTGGTCCCACCAGTCATCCATGCACAAGGTAATCCGGGTGGCTTTTTAATTATTTACTCAACTGCATTTAATCACTCCATATTACCATTTTAATTGTCAAGATGAAACTATATTATATATTTGCACGCATTATGTATATGCACGCAGGATTGTGTATTTACACGCAGGATTATGTATCAGGGTTAGCAGGATTATGTATCAACGAAATGGCAGCAATTTGTTTACGATTCTTACAATTTATGAATTCATCTCTGGAAACTTTCTAAATACACAGCAAATACCATTGATGTACAGTATGTCGCTCGTATCGACTTAAATGTTATAGTAGATCATGATGAAAACATTGAAATGAACAATAGAAGCGAAATCGAAAACATGATACTTACATGAGGTTTACTTATAGCCTTGTCAAAGTCGGTAATAATTCAAGGGCAAGACTGGTTTACCTATCAAATAGTATTATTAATTATATTATAATATGATATCTTATGTTGAACGCTTATCATATCCGATTATGACCCCAACTGACAGTTAATCATTTGTACCTAGTGATTTTAATGAATTTAGTGATGCAATGCAATACAATACAATACAATATAAACAATATATTTGTCAGTGTGTCATCACATTTATTAGTTATTTTTCTTAAATATTTTCTATTGTCTTTACCCTTTAACTCTAAGCTTGTTCGCAGTTCAAAATTCAAAAGCTCTAGTTTTTTCATACATTGCTAACCATTTGCTAATTAAATGTACAGTAGTCGAACGAAAAGACACAAGTAATGCCTAGGTTACATTTGCTCTGTTTCAACGACCGGCGCACGGTCGCCATTGAAGTATTTTGTTCAAAACTGATTTCAACTTGCTTCAAATTGACCAAACTTTTTAAAAATCATATACCAGTTCTCAGGAGTTCACATCTGACCTCTAATTTGAGATTTGACCTTCAATTATGAACGAATACTCAATCCGCAGACTCAATCGAATTTCTTCAAAAGCACATGGTTACAAAATTAGTCATATTTGTCATAAATTTCGCCAATATAGGATGCAAACTTTGGGTAGATGTTGTCATTCCCAGATGCCCAAAAGTGTCAGGAACACATAGGTACTCAAATAATCTTAATTGGACATCTACTGGATGAGCGTGGTGTAAAAGTGGTTTTGAAAAGTAGCAAATTTCTCTTCATATAGGTTATTTGTGGTTTATTATTATGCATTGATTCTGAAATTATTGGCGTCTAGTTTTTCAGCGTTTTGGAAATATTCAGATTTATACCCCCCTGGTGTAATTTTAAGGGGGGTACTTGGAAAGCCATATATCAATCCTAGAATATAGAGCCAATCATCTTGATTTTTCCAGGTAATCATGTACTTATCATGTCCTACCATTATGACAAGTTTCATTAAAGTCATTAAAGTTGATCAACTGGTTGCTATGGAAATGGAGATCATATGTTAAAAAGTACACATTTTCGTCAAAATGTAAGATACCCCATGAGACAAAACACATATTATTTTCATGAAATTGGAAGGAATCACCATGAAACCATTTTAGAAAACTTATTCAAAGTAAATTTGATAATATTAAATCAACTGCTGTTTTATCTTATCCACACAGTGGAATCTATTGCTGATGATTATATGGCAATGCAAGTAAATTTAGGAAGGGGATGTGGCACTTTTCCAAAGAATTCTTTATTTGTATTCAACTTTTTGAAGAAAATAAGTAACCATTTGTCCTGAAATTAACAGATATTATTCACATCATTATGTTTGACTATCATGGAAAATTTCATCAGTGTTGGATAACTGATTACTATGGTAAACAGATTTATACTCTATTGGTATGATTTTAAGGGGGTACAATGAAAGCCATCTATAATTCCTAGAATATACAGCCATTCATCTTGATATTTACAGGTAATCATCTACTTATAATACACTACCACTATGACAAGTTTCATTGATGTTTAACACTTGGTAGCTATGGTAACTGAAATAATTTATTGAAAAATACACATTAAAGAGATACTATGTATAATTCCTAGAATATTCAATTCATCATCTTGATATTTATGGGTAATCATCTGCTTATCATGTCTTACCAGTGCCATCAATGTTGGTCAATTGGTTGCTATGGTAACAGAAATCATTTCTTAAAAATTGCACATCAAGGGGGTACTATGTATAATTCCCAGAATATTTAATCAATCATCTTGATATTTACAGGTAATCATCTGCTTATCAAGTCCTACCAGCATGACAAGTGCCATCAATGTTGATCAATTGGTTGCTCTGGTAACAGAAATAATTTGTTAAAAAGTGCACATTAAGGGGGTACTATGAAAGCCATATATAATTCCTAGAATATTCAATCAATCATCTTGATATTTACGGGTAATCATCCTTTTACATGTCCTACCAGTATGACAAGTGCCTTCAATGTTGGTAATTTGGCTGCTATGGTAACAGAAATCATTTGTTAAAAGAGTACACATTTTCGTAAAAATCTAAGACTCATGTAACCTTTGACATGAAGCACATAATATGTTCATCATTTTGGGAGAAATAAGCAGGGAAACATTTCATAAAACTTATCACATCTCATCAATCACAACAGTGGACGCTTTATTGCCATCACTGGTCATCAATGGACATGTTTTACACTCAGAGTAACACATGCTGTTGTTCCTCAACTTTTTTATGTGTGTTGGTTTTTTCAACTGTTCATTGTTTTTAGAATTCATTAAGAAGCATTTCCAGTATTTTTAATTGGGTGTTATAGTTGTATATATCTCTTAGTTTGTTTATTACAAGTGACGTGGTAACTTGTTGATGGCAAAATAGAGCCAAATTGGCCAGACAAACCCATTCCACCTGATGATCTCATAGACATATAGTCACATAAAGATTGCAACGGACGCTTTGACAGAAGTAGACATTGAAAGATCTATGAATAAGGATTTTGATGCAAATGATATAAAAGATGACTAAGTGAGATCAGCTCATAATTTACTGTGTCCCTACGCATAATGTGACAGCCGCATTCTGCATAGTTTTATTATCATAAGCAAATACAATATATCAAATGGCCCAGATGAAATATCCATTCATTAAATATTATCAGACATACTTAAAATAGGTTTTTAAAATGTTTTCATGCTAATTCCTCCCAATTTGATGAAGATTTTCAATGTCTTATGTGTGTCTTAAACGAAATGTGTACTTTTTTAACAAATAGATTTCTACCCACATTTGACCCACATTGACGAAACTTGTCATCATGGTAGGACATGATAAGTAGTAGATTGTCTGTAAATATCATAATGATTGTTTTGATATTTAAGGAATTATAAATGGCTTTCATAGTATGCCCTAATGTGTACTTTTTAACAAATGATTTCTGTTACCATAGCAACCATTTGCCCCGCATTTATGAACTTTGTCATAGTGGAAGAACATGGTGAGTAGATAACTACCTGTCAATAACAAGATGATTGGTTAGATATTCTAGGAATTATATATGGCTTTCATAGTACCTCCCTTAATGTGTACTTCTGAAAAAATGATTTATGTTTCCATAACAACCAATTGATACACATTGATGAAAATTGTCATGGTTGTAAGACATGACATGTAGACGATTACCTGTAAATATCAGGATGATTGGCTGTATATTCTAGGAATTATAGATGGCTTTCATTGTACCCCCATTAAAAATCATACCAAGGGGTATAAATCTGCATACTATAGTAACCAGTAAACCAACACTGATGAAACTTTCCATGATAGTCAAACATAATGATGTGAATAATATCTGTGAATAACAGGACAATTGGTTATTTATTTTCTTCAAAAATTTGGACACAAGTTAAGAATTCTTTGGAAAAGTGCCACGTCCCCTTTCTAAATTAATTTGCATTGCCATATAATCATGAGCAATAGATTTCACTGTGTGGATAGGATAAAACAGCACTTGATTTAATATTATCAAACATACTCTGAATAAGTTTTCTAAAATGTTTTTATGGTGTTTCTTTCAAATTTCATTCAAATAATATGTGTTTTGTCTCATGGGGTGTCTTACATTTTGACGAAATTGTGTACTTTTTGACATATGATCTCCGTTTCCATAGCAACCAGTTGACTAACTTTGATGAAACTTATTTCTTTTGTAGGACATGATAAGTACATGATAACCTGTAAATATCAAACTGATTGGTTGTAAATTCTAGGAATTTTACATGGCCTTCCTAGTACCCCCCTCAAAATGAAACAAGGGGGGTATAAATCTGAATATTTCCAAAACGCTGAAAAACTAGACACCAGTATTTTCAGAATCAATGTATAATCATAAACAACAAATTACCTACATAAAGAGAAATTTGCTACTTTTCAAAACCACTTTTACACCACGCTCATCCAGTAATCGTGGTGCAGAGAAATCATAGTTTTACTGAGTGGCCCCAAAAATAAACAAGGTTGTGGGCCCAGTTAAGCCAATGGCATAAACATGAATGTGGTGAATCCCAGAAGTCCTGTCCCTCAGATACGATAATTTTTATGTAGGCTACATATTCGAAGTTTCAATATTAATAAAATAGGTTTTGAGTATTATTAAAGAGGCAACAAGGCTTGTAGAGAGAAAATTTGAATTATTTTACTTTTTCTGAGCTATCAGGGCAACATTTGGCATAACATCATCTTTGACATACCTATTTTCTTTAAATGTATGGATAAACTATCAATTTCAGCATTAAGTTTAAGGAGTCCCATTTATAGATTTTTAAGATCTAGAGGAATATCAGCTGAAAAAATGTTCATCCTGTGTGTTTCTTTGAAAATAATAAAAATATATGTCAGTCTTGAAGAAATAACCAAACTTAAATATATTCTGACACTTGTCCATGATCGCTGAATGGCCCCTCTGCACTCATTGTTGCACCTTTAATGAAATATATTTTGGAGGCTTCGAAATAACTTTTATATGTTAACATATTTGAGCAATTTTATGATTTCAACTTTACAGACATTATTTTGTTGTGCTTCAGAACCAGAAGAACCCTTAGATCCATGTAAGAGATTTGCCTCCTTTAATAAAGAATGTGAAATAACAATGGCCAAGTGTAATCCAGCGGATCCAAGATGTTGTGGTTGTCCCTTGTTGTTTAGGGACCCAGTTACCAAGGTATTGGAATTGATATTATATACCTTCCTAGTATATTATTTGAGCTTGTTACTAGGCCTATGAAAAATACACACATTATACCATTGGCGTAGAGTGGGTATTTTGTGAGTGTACGCCATGAGTGAGCGAAGCAAATGAGCTTTTGGGGGAAGGAAAATTTGAAAATGAGATTGCATTTGAAGCGTTCTGGGACGTTTTAAAACACGAAATTCCGACTAAAGTAATAAGTACACATAAAAAGTAAATTATTTCCCATTTTTCAAAAATCAACTATACTCTCTAAATTTTGAGAGTTATACGCCATGGCGTTTTATGCGTACGACGCTACGCCAGTGTGATACAAAGCATTGTACATGTACGTAAAATTAATATCGTAAACTGTTTGCTACATATATCGTATGAAATACCATGTGACTATATTCACCATGTATTACCATGACGGTTACGTTACTTCTGAAAACGAGGTTGAAATGCTACGTTCACTGATTGATCAAATAAAATGGCCGCGATGGAACACACGGTGTCCAACACTACCCAACGTGAATCGATCCGGATTTGTTTTTCACAACCATTTGGACTCAATTTATGGAAAAGTGTAGAGGTAGGTTATGAAATTGCTTTCACTTGACTCTACGTAAATATGTTGGATTTAAATAACTTACCATACTATACATGTATATCCTAACTTCAGGCACCCGCAAACGCGTTATTCGTACGAACCGTTTGTGAATCTTGCATACAGGCGAGAAAGAGTAATACTGTCTTTCCCATCTGCCAGTTTTTGTTATCGTTACCGCAAAATTTTGGAAATTGCCTTGATGTAACCGTCATTGTAACACATAGTGATGTCATTGCTATAAACAAATTGATTGGGTTCGGTTTAAGTGAAAAAATTGGCCGTGTATGATCAAATCATTAATAGGAGTCAAGGGCTTTGGTTTATACAGAGAAGGAAATATTGTATTCAAACAAGTTTTTATAAGTATCTGAAATTGTTTGATGATATATATCTGAGTTTTTATCATATATTATTATCTTCTCTCAGTTGATTAAAACGCCGTTCGAGGTAGCCTACAAGCTGGGAATGTGTTTATGTGAGGATTGTATTCGGAGATCGTATTTCTGTCTTCCTAAGGACTTCCGCTCGATCTTAAGCTATGGAAAACCAAAAGTATCTCGTTATTACCCAGGAGCACCACCAGATGACGCTGATAATACCCCCTAAGTTCACTTTAACACTACTAAGTATACTAAGTGTACTGAGTATATTTTTTTCTCAATTTTGCGTGAACATTTATTTGAATGTATAGAAAGAAATTACATGTTATTATGTTATTTAGAGCCATAGTAAAATATATGCATCTCTGGAGGTCATGCTTCAGTGCCAGCATACATATTAGTTTATGGAATGATAATATGAAATAAGAAAATATACTTGAATATATAAAACAAAATTGTCACAATCATTCTAAGGATTTTCAAAATGGCTGACATCATTTCATTTCATGCTGAAAATTGCATAAAAGTTCCATATTTTTGCACGATGCCTGGTCCTTACCTAGATTTTTAAATATCTCAAGATGTACCTTAGAAGTGCACTATTCCCTCAATTCATATAACTTTCTAGGTAAGAACCAGGTACATTGTAGTCAGTAATTATGCTAATGATATCAAAATACATATTTAAGTAAATATTCTAAGCCAAAATCAGGATTAATGATGTAAATCCAGTTTTCATTTAGAGAATCTATTTCCTGTTATCATTGTAAAAAAACATGGCCTCCATTAATTAAATGAAACAAAACATTAATTTATATACATACATCATATCTTATGTACACTTTATTTATAAAATCTAAACCAAAACAATCATTTCTACATTTACTTGTACGATGTATGACGTAACATACTTAATCATTCTAAACATACTGTGTGTAGTGCCCATGGGCATTGCTTGTCAGTGATTAGTTTAATATTATTGGTTCTGAATTGATAATTTACAAATCTGAATTCAATCCAAAAAGTCCTCAATGCTATTGGTCAGTTCAACACTTTGCGCGCACATGTGCATTGTAGCTAAATTGGATGGTATTTTGGCTTTGGTTTTGTCCATTAAAAAAGGTATAAATCTCATCCGTTGATTAACACAACACAGTCTATAGACATTCATTCTCACAATTCAGCTAAAGTCTACAAGCGTTAAAAGTTTCCTCCCGCTTGTTCTTTTTGTAGTCGAGAGCTAAATGCGCGAGATACTACATTGAGAGCATCGAGGTATCGGTCCATACACATCGCTACACATTTCTGGAACATAAATGCAGAGTTTTGGTACATTAATTCTTTAAATGCAGATTGAAAATTAGTAATAACTGACAAAAATATGGTGTTTAAATCAAGAAATGATATAGAACATACAGGGTTTTCATAAAGATTTTTTAATATCAAAAAAGCACATGTAATGATGCCAATATGAGCAATGCCTATTTTTCAATTTCCAAAATTCTTTGTCATTGTACACCTGGATGACCATATTTGCCTTTACTATTGAATCCTCCCAATATACAGACCTGTTCTGAGTTGTCTAAAGAGGACCCTGGTTTTGGTATGCACTTCTTGAAGCATTTATCTGACATGGTCTGAAAGAAGAAAACAGTAACAGTACTGTTTACATTCAAATTCTGGGGATTAAATAAATCCATTGAAACATTTTTCAACATTTATCAATATGCTATACATTCTAAAGTTTTCACTTTTTGGACTGACATAACCATGGATCATAAAATAATCTTTTATAATCTCAGATTAAGCTTCACACCGAACCAACTCATTTTTAGATGGCCCCCATGGACCAAAAATCGGCCTAATGCTTTGATGTTTAGACCCCCAAATTGCCCTGTAGGCCTATCTTATGCATTCTCTGCAGCCTGTGGCAAGGCTATTTTTATATACAAATATCTTGGATTCAGAAATAATTAAAGTGTCTTTTCTGGGAGTTTTTTGGAGATGGTCCTTTCACTCTCAGTTTTATTATAATATAGGAAATAAAATTGATACTTTCATGCATTTATCCATTTTATTTACTTATACCTAGTATTAATCAAAAAATTATCCATTTCATCATTTGACATGCACAATGAAGGTATTTTTTCCCAAACTCTGAAGAAATTTCATATTGTTTCTCAGAATAAAATCCATGTGGAATCCCTCCCAGTAAATAGGATCTATATCATCCAAGTTCATTGGCTGATCATGGGTTATAAAATGTATTGAAAATGTCTTATCTGCATTTTTAAACTTAAATTGTTCCAACCTGCCTTAATGTTACTAAATGATACAATCTATATAAGGAAGAGCACAGGAAAGTGACACAAAGAATGCCAGCAAACTAAATATCTGCAAAAAATGTTGATGCGCCTTGAAATTAACATTTACATTTCCTCCCCAAGGTACATAACTTGAATTTGAAGCTGATAATGAAATACGGGAATTTCAAATGTTTTTTCTTAAAATATCAGTATTTTCTGGAGTTGACATTGGCCTCTTAGCCAAATGTATGTTTTAAAGGAATATTCCTTGCCAAACCATCTCTCTCCTCATATGGTAGCTATAACCATATATATGCTAGCCATGTTTAGCAAAACACGCAAAAATGTTTTGATATGGTCAAATTTGATCACTTAGAAATGTGATGCTCAATTCCAGTAAGCTGCCATCTTTTAAAATTTCACATAGAAAGTGATGTCATCGACTCTCAACTTTTACCCTGCGTGCAGAGTCTAGCTCAACTACACTCTGCCTAGTAGAGACCATATTACAGTATAGTAGCCCCGCCCCCACGACGGGTACCGGTGGCCGTTTGGGTAAATCACTTTTGACCTACGCACTGACCTTCCACCAATCAGCGAGTTTGAAGAAACATACGGCAAATGCGTTCTAATTAAATATGCGCATGTCATTGGTCAATTCTGGGCTCAACGATGACGTCAGAAGGAATGACCATATAAAGAACGTCGGTCAAATTTGGCCGACGAACACTGATTGGCGCGGTGAGTTCACAGGTTTATTTTAGTTTGAAAGAGTGAAGACGAAGCTCTCTTTTAAGAAGTGTAGTCAAACGAATGCAAAGGGTACTCAACTTTGCATATAGCATTAGGTGAGGAGCTATTAAGAATTACAAAACCAGCTAAATATTCTTTTTCAACTTTGTATCTTATTTAATCCTTCTGAAAATCTCTTCTTTTATTCTAAGTTGACAAGCCCTGAAAATATTTTTGCACAGAAAGTAGTGATCACTTGTTTAGAAGTGATTTGGTGCTACTTTCCTATACTGTTATGGGCAAGGTTATAGAAGTTGAGAGTTGATGACATCACTTCCTGCAAGAAATCTTAAAAGATGGCAGCTCACTGGAAATAAGCACTAGATTTTTAAATAATCAATATTGACCATATTAAAACATTTTCCCATGTTTTGCTAAATATGGAAACTACGTATATATATGATTATAGCTACCATATCAAGAGAGAAAGGGTCTGGAAAGGAATATTCCTTTGAATAGCAATATTTGCTTGTTATTTAACTTATTTCAACTGTCAAAACCCCTACAGCACCTGAGACATGGATGTTATTAAGAGGACTCTCCTTCTTATACCTACTGCCATCTTGAAAAAAAGAGGTGCGATATTTCCAGAAAAAAACAAAAACTTCCTCGTTCTGCTGAAACCTATTTGATTGGGAATTCAACCACATAAAAAGAATCAAAAAATACTCAGAAATCCAAATTCTCCCATATTGTAATCATACGAATGTTAGCAGGAGCATATTCATGGTGCAGATACCCCCATAAAGAAGGGGTATCCCATGATTGAAATCATGGATTGAAAATTAGCTGGATTAGTAGTTATTTAGATAAAATTCAGCTTTCTGTCAACTACTGACAGGCCCAGTACGCAACGAAAGAAACTGCTAAATTGTATTTTTAGTCTGCTTATTTATCGATCTATTGATTCATGAAGACCTGAAATGATGAATTCAAATAAGACCGCCTCCTAAATGAAAATACTACACATCAAGTGGTGAAAAAGAACGAACTAAAGTTGAAAGATCGCAATGTTCGCTACTTTGGTCAATTCCGGAAATCTCCAAGGGGCTGCAATGAGAAATTTTTTAGATTTAGGTTTTATAACCTTAGAATACTGCCTCCAGTGTCGTGTTTGGCTGAGTTCCACAATGTAACCTAGCAGGAGGGATGACATAGAACAAACTGCTAAGTAGACACATGGTAACATTTCATATTTCGTTATTTTAACCACATGAACTTCTCACTAGACTAGAATAAGTGTTTTATCTTAGTATTTTGGTTGAGGTCAAAAATTTATATTTTGACACCTCAAAAGTCACGCTAACGGAGAATGAGCGATAACGCTTTAACATTACCACAGTCATGACAGGCCTTGCAATATAATATAGCATTGTCACGGTTATACCAGGCTTTCACGATAACGATACCACGGTCATGGCAGGCTCCTTACGAAACTTAAAAACACATAATACATGGTTACGGTTGTGCCAGACAAAAGTCTTGCAATAGATAGCATGTGAACTTTCCTGAAAAATGTTGACCTTTGAAAAAATCAGAATTTTTTCAAAAATATTTTACCTGCAATAGTTTTTGTGTCTGCATAATGGCTAATTCCGTTTTAACTTGTGTTATTGTCTGTTCCCTACTTGCAGAATCACTCTTTCCAGGTTGGGGCAGACTTCCGTAGTCCATTGTTGACTAAAACTGACGATTTTCTCACGCTAAAATGCAAGAAATTTCACATGTAATATTTATCCAAGATAAGAACAGCTGATGAAAACATTTACCCGATTTAGCGAAATCAAAATAATTTGGTTTTGTGCTGCTATTGAATATGTATCACCTTTATTACTAATGAAGTAGCAATTTGGTCAAATACATACTATAAATATGAAAGAAAACCTCGATTTTGATGAAAAGTATTAAGAAAAACTGAAAACAATTTTTTTCCTCACAACCGGAAGTTCAATTAAAAAGTAGATCTAGGTCATTGACAATTTTGTCCTCATCAGAACTCACCCACAGATTTTCCCAGCTTCTCCAGCTCCTAACGTGCTCGGTCCATTAAATGTAAGTATAACGTTAATCATACTTTGTTGTTAGTGTCCAGACTAAAATTGACCTGGCTACGAATATCAGAAAGGCGTTTGGAATTGCATATTATCCAGAATTTTATTTTCAATCAAAATTTTTTAGGAATCACCCACATTTGTGGGGGTAGGCTAACAGGGAGCTGTTTATGTCACCTTAAAATCTTACTTCACCTTTTCCTAAGCTAAATTGTTTCCCGAAGGAGTTGCATCCTACTTGCATCCACTGATATACAAACTAAGCACTCAGGAGGGCTTCATTAGAATCTCGTAGATATCAAGTTTGAAGCGCACAAGCTGCCTGCCCCAGAATTATAAAGAGCTCCTAACTCATGAACTTAATGAGCTGCCAGTTCGTGAACTTAATGAGCCACAAGCTCATGAGAACTAAAGAGTTGTAAGCTCATGAAAATTACTGAGCGCTAAGCTGATGAGTAATAACCATTAGCACATTGAACTAAGTAGCAGTTTGTGCTCAAACTTTCCAAGTATGTTACATTGTCACCATTGTGGCTTACTTTATATCCAGTCTCCGAACTGAGTGCTTTTACTCTCATTCCTTACCAATTTTTCTGTTCTGTGAGGAGTCACCCAGATATACCTACAGTATACCTTCCTAATGTCTGTTCTGCAGTCATTCTAAAGGATGGAAGCTAGGGTGGGAAAATTACCTACCCAACATTATTTAGCATAAATCAACTTACTCTTTGAGATTTCATACCACTAACCCGCTTCCCACCTCGTGCTTCCAAAAGACCCGGCATGTACCACCTCTTCCTAAACTCCACTTTTGCTTCCGTAACTGAAAAATCTTACAAAAAATTCTATAACTACATGTATGTCAACTACATTAAATGCTCTTAGCTGGTTAGTCGGGAGTGTCATCTTCAGGCAACATAAATCATTTTATCGTATGATCTGTAAAATGAAGCCCTCTGATTGGTCAGTTCTTGTGGTGTACCAATCTGTATTGCTACTGTGATTGTCTCCGTTGATCATCTCCGTCGCAATACGGAAAATGTTGGTAAGGAGGGGACAATTTAGTGAATTATTTGAAGTGCAATACAGGATATATTCTGTCTCTATATTCTGTATTGGCACTCGACTACGTCTCGTTCCAATACGGAATTTCTCGAGCAGAATATATCCTGTATTGCACTTCAAATCATTCAATAACTTATAATATTGGACATATAATTTATTTACATAAGTTCTAAGCTTCTTCAATAATTTTTGGTATTAAATTTCAAGTAGTATCAAGGTTTTAGAAAACCCCAATATCTCAGACCATAGGCCTGGAAACATGTATAAAAAAGATTGAAATTCAGATATTATCTACTTTAGATATTTCCACATAATACCAGATGAGAAAACTAAGTCTGTTTGTCACACCATATCTGATAATCATTGCTTTTTAGATGTCCAGTGTGACTCTAGCAGATACCATAGCAACAGTGTGCTGTAATCACTACAGGTTGACACTCACCAAGAAAGGCAAGCCACAACATGGAAAAGAGTGGACACTTCTTGCTGCAGTTGTCATGGAAATCAACAATGACTATACAGTTGTTGCTATGGGAACGGGCTCCAAGTGTATAGGAGAGAGCAAGCTAAGGAAAGATGGTAAAGTGGTACACTTGTTTAATATACATAGCAACCAAATATTCAGGAAAGACTGACTTCAGGATGTTGTAAATTGTTACTTCAATATATAATTTTAAATACAATACAATATATTTTTGATTGACTGGCATTACAATAGTCAATAAATAACTTTGAAATGAAGATATTTTAATAAATTTTTTAATATAAACGTAAATGGTCTATTACGTCATAATCATTGGGAAAATATGTTTAAAAAAAGGTCCATCCAGAAAGCCAAGGTTAAGACTTCCTGAATACAAACCATGTAGCCTATGTTTCATTCAAAACTTTTCACAAGTGATCAAGAAGAGTCTCTTGATTGATTAGAATGATTATTGATGAAAATGTTCTGTGATGAGATGTTAGAGCAACTACCTTTAAGAGAAGAGTTTCGTGAATAAAAGCAAATATATCCTCCTTAATCATGTTGCTCATTTGCATATGCATCTACCTTTAAAAGTATTAATTGAGAAAAATAGACTGAAGAGCAGATATTATATTGATGAATAAATACCGCAGGGCTAGGCACAAATCAGAACACCACTGGGACTGGCCAATAGTGTTCAGATTGGCAGATGTTCATATTTCATTGTTTTTTAACATTGAAGTTTATTGCAGATCAAGAATGAGTGTGAATAAAAGTGTTCAAATTGAGAAGTGTTCAGATTAGAGAGATGTTCAGATATTCAGGTTTACATGTACTATATTACATTGTATCATCGTTTTGTTCCACAAAAATGAGTGATCACTGTGTCTTATTTTTTATATATAGGTGGCGTATTGCACGATAGCCATGCTGAGATTATGGCAAGACGGGCATTTCTAAGGTAAGTATTATGTCAAGTTTGGTTTATAAATCCCAATGTGATTTATTTAAGAGATTCATTGGCCAGGTTATTTAATCCATTAAAATGCTCTCACATACACTACCCAAGAAAACTTACTTTTAATTTTGACATTTCGGCCTACAGACACAATCTTCAGAAATTGCTGACTTCCGGTTCTGAATATGGATTGCCAACTGTGGTCTCTATTCATATTGTCTGTACTCTTAATAAAAATTGATTCTTTATGTTTTTGCCATAGTAAACAAAGGGTTAATACACCTATGCTGCCTGTTATTGACACTGTCCCTGCAAAGAAAGCATTTTATGTCACTACCAAAAAGTTGTGGCATATCGTTATTATGGTCTCCGTTTTTTGTGATGGTGGTTGGCGAGCGGTGGTTGGTGTGTGCAACAAATTGTGGTGACATTTTGCATGGTCATGCCTTGTTCTATCCTTGCATACCAAGCAGCGTCAATCAGAATTTCAGTTGTATTTCTTTCTGTTCAGGTACCTTTATGGCGAGATATCCCTGTTGTATCATGGGAAGGAAAGTGAAACTCTACAACAAGATGGAGCCACAAACCTGTGTTCTGTAAAACCTGGAGTGAAATTGCATTTCTATACATCCCAGACACCATGTGAGTCTTACAGAATCAGTAATCATATCAGTATATTACAAATCTCCCCTGACAATAGACCTCAAAGAGTTGCTTGTCAATTAAAGAAACAACAAGCATAATTATGAAAAAGTAAAAAACAAACATTACAACACTGTACTTCTCTGTCTTAGTAATGTATGTGTTTCTTTGTTTCAGGTGGAGACGCTTCTATTATTCCTAAAGATGAAACAACATCATCGAGTTCTGGGATATCCCATATGGGATTAGATCCATCTCATAATAACAAATTAGCAAGCCTTCAGGAGAAGCTGCCTGATTTGGAGAAAGCTGTGGCTAAATCCACGGCAGAACTAAATGAAAAATCAGAACAAATCAAATTACTTAAATCTGAATTTTTGAAACACAAAGCTCGGTTGATTCAAACTGAAGTTGATGTTGAAAACACGTTTATTGAATATAGCAACGAAGCTCAGAATGATATTGATAATGAACAGATTGATGCAAGTATTAGATTCAAACTAGAAGACCAATCAGCCATGATTGCCAGGATTAGTATGATATGTGATGAACTGTCACCTCATCTTGATCAGCTTAGCACTGAATTTTATCAGAAAAAGTTTGAAACTGAAAATAGCATGAAGGTACTAGAAGAACATCGTGCTAAAATTCTCAGTGAAATGGAACAACAGAGAAATGATCCTAATGATATAGAGGAAAGTTCTGATACAAGTGTTCAAAAACATGGAAAGAAACGATCTAAACAAGACTCTAAAGATATTACAAAAACAAAAGTTAAATCTAAAAAGCAAAAGCTAGACAATTCTGTTATTTATCAAAGTAAAGATAGGAAATGTAAATCTCAAAACAAAGACAATCTGTCCAATATTGCTGTACCAAGTACTTCAAAATCTGCACAAGACCAGATTCAACTGGAGAGTTCTGATCTGAAGCAGTTGAAACCAGATGTTCATAGGACTGGTGCAAAATGTGTCCCCAAGGGGTGTCAAGATGCTCATGGTGATGGGATTGATTATCACACATTAGGAGCACTGAGAACTAAACCTGGGAGGGGTGACAGGTAATGCTTATGAGTAGAGATTCATTTTAATTAAACGAAAAACTCACACTAGAAATAACACTTTTATTTCAAGGAAGTTTCTAAGAATATTATCAGTTATTACACGTTTCAGCATGTGATACGGGAAATATTCTCAGAAGTAAAAATTGTATAACCACGAAAGCGCAGCTTGAGTGGTGATACTTTTTTACTGAGTGGAATATTTCCCGTATCACATACCCAGAAACGTGTGATGGCGATTTTATCACATACTATGTAGAAATCTAGTGATTTCATTGATAGCTTTCTTTGTCGTTCTAACTTATAGTTCCTCAAATGATGAATTCATCATTTCTAAGAAATAGTAACATAGCCTATATGTGACGTCATTTTGAATTAGGAAAGAATAGAATGAAGTTGTATGACGTCATTCCGTTACCATAGACAACGTGTGGTACGTGTGCTCGTATCATGAAATTCAACCAAATTCAAGCAACCAATCAAATCACTAGATTTCTACATAGTATGTGATAAACATTGATGTTTCTATAATATTGTAAGTGCAGTGAAACCTGTGTATATGGGACACCCTTAGTACTAGCCAAAATTCTTTCAAAATCCAGTATTTGGATTTAGTTACTTAATCACAATAAACATGTACTATGTCATTTACAATTTTCAAAATAATACCTTGAAAAGTTTACTTGTAATATTTATTTAGTTGACTGACTTACATGACTGACTTACATGACTTACATGATACATGTACTATACTATATTGCAGGACATTGTCAATGTCATGTAGCGACAAGATGGCCAGGTGGAATATAGTTGGATGCCAGGGGGCACTGTTAAGCCACTTCCTACAGTGCCCTCTATACTTCAACACAATTGTTGTGGGAAGGTGAGCCTTTTGTTTCACTAGACATGCACATATTCCTGATGGTACAAGCCAGTTAATTTAATGTATTTAAAGCATATAACATATAACAATCATTGGTGTAACAAATCAATATGTATTTCTATGTCATCACCTTAATTTTCACCAGAATAATCTTTGAACAAAGATTTCTCAGAGCAATTACAAGACTCTGTCTACTAAAACACACTATCCTTCCCCCATACTGACCCTTGCATTTCTTTAAAATGGATGCAGGCTGCAGTGAAGTTGCAAATGGAAGATGTTTGTTTATTTCCATATTTCTGAAAGAAGATTTTACATATATTCTTCTGTACATCTGTAGATTCATCGAGCAGTTTGCCTTGTATGACTTCTATAATAAACAGAAAAGCTCTGAAGAAATTTGCAACTTAACTGTAGCCTGTATCCCTTTTTAAGAAATACAGGCTACAGTATGGGGGTAGGGATGTGTGTAATAGCATAACTTGTATAATAAAACATCCCCTATACCCTTCTGCCCTAACCACAATCATTATATTTCTTTCATTTTATACATATGTAATTATAAATTGTTAAATTTTGGACTTTCAACAATGATCCTTAAAGATTAATCCAGATTTTTCGTATTTCTGCAGAAAACATTTTTCAATACAGTATGCACCATGTGGTATGAGATGTACTGAGTACTAAGGTTGAAATGCCTTTCTAAACATACAAGACATATTATGCCCCATGGATCCATGCAGTCTGGTACAGTACACTGAGTTTGTGATAGGATCTGAACAGCAGATATCTGGTTCATCACATTTCTTTCCATTATTTTCACATATCTCTGTAGATACAGGTACAATCATCCTAAATATAAGAAATCAACATAAAGTATTTGGTTGAGATGATGTTGTTAATACGTGTTATGTTGTAGCCATATTGGGCTGTTTGGACTATTAGGCAGAATTTTGAAATACATTTATTGCCATATTCATATTATCTGTATTTCAAGTTTTAAACGGGTGCTCATATATACGGGCGCTTGTTGGTCTGCGTTCTTACATATCTTACAACTGCAAAAATAATTACTCAGTGGCAGCCTTGTAGCATGGTAGTGAATTCTGATTGGCTGGAGCACAGAATCGTTGCTTTGTTATCATATCCCGACAACATATTTCTGCAATGTCACATGACATTGGCTGCCTGCATCTCATATCACTTTGGTATCTCCAGCGTCTTAAGAGGAGAAATTAAAAAACTATTAAATATCAACAAGAAATTAATTTATAAATTGATTATGCTGCTGTTTGTGCTAAAAAGGTTAACAATCAAACTTTAGAAAATTTAGACACATCAATTCAATACTTTAATCGGACAAATAGTATTTGAACTAGATATAATGTAAATCAGACATATTTCTGTTGGTACAACTGGTTTGATATTTTGGTGCTTTCTTGTTAATTAAAATATATCTTAAAATGCATCAATGTTGAGTATAACATTTGTCAAAATTTTCCAATTTCTATGATTTATCAATTATCATCTTGGGTAGATATGGAATGAAATATGCAGGGTGACCTTTAACAATTTATCCAATACTTAGTGGTGTTATAGGTAAATAACATGCGGGAATATAATCCCATTAAATAACCTCTATGCCCAATCTCACTTACAGAGTATATCTTGATGCTACAGTTTGTAGATGTCCAATCAGACACAACAAACCCAAGAATCTCACATTATGCATGTTGAGACAAAATCTGAAAAGTAATTTGCAGAAAATAGTTTGGAGATACTTGTTAAGATTGAGGCAATACTTTATGTAGGGCCACTCTAAAACATTGATAATGCGGCATGAAAACTCCATTCAATAACTTAAATCAACCTACATGATAATAGTCCATCAAATCTACAGTGTTACCTGATAATATAAAATGTTCAAAATACCCACAATTTATAACAATTTTGAAATCATAGAATTTTATAGTGAACTTACCTGATTTGTTGCTTCAAAAATGTAATTGCATCTTCCAGTAATTTAGGTGCAATATGTAAAACTGTAAAAGCAATATGTATTAAATGTAAAAAAATTATAAAGGACATTAATAAAGCTACAAATGTAGACATTAAAGAAGCACATGGCAGCCATCTTGGAAAATGGCGGCCTTTACTCTTTATTTTACGATTTTTGCTGTAACTCGAAAAGTAATGGAGCGATTTTGTTCATATTTGGTATGTGAATACTATAAGCATTGCACACTGTCTAGAGACACTTTTGGTAGAAGGCGGCCATTTTTCAAAATGGCCGCCATTTTAACGTATTTTACTATAACTCGAAAAGTAGTGGAGCGATTTTGTTCATATTTGGTATGTGAATACTATAAGCATGGCACACTGTCCTATGACACTTTTGGTAGAAGGTGGCCATTTTGAAAATTTTTTTGAATAATGGCCGTCATTTTAACGTATTTTACTATAACTCGAAAAGTAGGGAAGCGATTTTGTTCATATTTGGTATGTGAATACTACAAGCATGGCACACTGTCTAATGACACTTTTGGTAGAAGGTTGCCATTTTGAAAAATGGCCCCATTTTAACGTATTTTACTATAACTTGAAAAGTAGTTCAGCGATTTTGTTCATATTTGGTATGTTGCATATTTTATATGTGAATACTATAAGCCTGGCACACTGTCTAATGACACTTTGGGTAGTAGGCAGCCATTTTGAAAAATGGCCACCATTTTTTACGTTTTTTACTATAACTTGAGAAGTAGTGAAGCGATTTTGTTCATATTTGATATGTGAATACTCATGAGCCTTGCGCACTGTCTCATGCCACTTCGGATAGAAGGCAGTCATTTTAAAAAATGGCTGTCATTTTTTTATGTTTTACTATAACTCGAAAAGTAGTAGAGCAATTTTGTTCATATTTGATATGTGAATACTTTAAGCATGGCACATTGTCTAATAAAACTTTGGGAGTAGTCAGCCATTTTGAAAAATGGCCACAATTTTTATGTGTGTTATTTTACAAGTACATGTGTGCGATTTTTCAACAATTTTATAGGTGGCTACTTAAAAGCATATTATTTCTTCTGATGACAACTTGGCTAGTGAGCAACCATTTTGAAAATGGTGGCCTTTCTGGTGTGTTGTTTTACGATATTTGCTATATATTTCGTTTGTATAAATGCCAGCTATTTCTGTACGATGGGATTCGCTACGCTTTGACGTTGCCGTTGTTCTGGTTTGATATTGAAGGTGTAATTTTAATCCATCGCTATGCAAATAAACATATTAAATATTCCAGTGTTAAGATAACTAGAAAACAATAGTTTCCAATCGAGAAATATAAAACAAAGGGATTGCTTATTCATAATGTAGAATTACTGAAATTATTCTTATAGACGTAGGATAGGCTACTGTTTGAATGGTATTTGTATTGACATATTTTCAATAATTTTAATTGGAATAATCATAGTTTTACTTTTACATGAGACAAGCTTAATCATTACAATACTGTATGTTTCTTTTCTGTGTATAGATGTCCCTATAGTGCAGTCTCCATGCAGCGTGCAGTATTAGATCGCAGCCAAGGCGTAACTAATCTGCCTGAAGGTTATCGGAATAACAATACTTCACTCCTTAACAGTGCAATAGATTTTGAACACAGTAAAGAGAACTTGGAGAAGTCTACTACTAAACCAGTACCATCATCTGCAGGTTAGTTGTCTATGTGTCTCAGTAGTTGGCTTAAGTAGGTTCTAAGTATTCAGCAATAGTTTCATCCTAGTTGTCTGTGTTTAATGTTTCCATTTTCAGCACATTTTTCTCCTGGTTGTCTGCAGTTTATAATTCAGTACTGTTTTCTTCCTGGTTGTCTGCAGTAAACATCTGTGGCTGTCATTCAATTATAATTGCCTTCTAGGTATTTATATTATGTGCATTTTCAAATGTTGATATATATGCTTCTCATATCCATAAACCCCATTCAACAGACCATTTATTACCTACTATTTCCAACACATGAACTAACCTAGCTTACCTAATAGGTTCTAAGTTTCTAACATCAAAAACCCTCTTCAGACACTATTAAAGTTAATGTCTTTGTTGCAGCAATTGCCTGGTACAAGGAAGCAGATAGAGTCATCCAGGAAGTTTCAGTTAATGGATATAGACTTGGGACAACTAATAAGAACAGGGGAAGACCAGAATCTAGGTACACACTGTCCTTCTAATCTTTATTCATTTGCAGAACTAGTTGCTTATTTGGTAAAGTACCTGTACATGTATGTTCCCATGTTGTCTGATTACAATACTAGTATGCATTTCAATTCTGGTTACAACCCTTTTAAATGTCAATCAAAATGTGGAGATAATAAAGTTAAATGAGCGAGGATTAAGGAGAAATGAGTATTACATCTTGGAAGTTAAAGGCTTCTGAGGTCCTCCGCTTATTCTATTGCTAGGGTAAAATAAATCAATATTTTTGGGGTTCATTTTGAAGCGTCACTTTAAAGCGTCCACATACCTGCATACAGTTGGTTTATGTATATTTTTTTATTGATTCAACCTTTATTAATATTTGACTGCAGGGAAGAATATAGCTTATGTATTACATGGGCTAGGTGATATATTTTCTAAGGTCTCTTCTCCTTTTCTCACTTTTACTTTCCAATTTATTTTTAGGTGTTGTCTATGTAAAGCAGAGTTGTACAGGTTGTTCAAGAATATCATCAAAACATGTCCAAAGGAAAAATTACCATCCACTCTGAGAAACATGTAAGTTCATATTTTTATATTTTTCATCATTTCATATTATAGGATGAATGTAGCATCAAGAAAAATATGGGGTTTTTCAAAAAATGACAAACTTGTACACATATTGCACAAGGGTGAAGCCCAATTGCATAATTAGAATGAGTAAGTAACTTAGTACATGTAGGAATGCTTTTGAATGCAATAAAGAATAATTTATACATGATTCTTTATTTTAATTCAAATATACTATCACTTCTTAATAAAATATGACATTTTAAGTTTATGAAACCAGAATGCACTGTGATTCTTTTACCAATTATGGTATCGCTCAGTTCATTATGAAACCAGAATGCATTGTGATGACATCACTCTTTTACCAATTATGGTATCGCTCAGTTCATTATGAAACCAGAATGCATTGTGATGACATCACTCTTTTACCAATTATGGTATCGCTCAGTTCATTATGAAACCAGAATGCATTGTGATGACATCACTCTTTTACCAATTATGGTATCGCTCAGTTCATTATGAAACCAGAATGCATTGTGATGACATCACTCTTTTACCAATTATGGTATCGCTCAGTTCATTATGAAACCAGAATGCATTGTGATGACATCACTCTTTTACCAATTATGGTATTGCTCAGTTAATTATCCCAACGAACGAAGTTCGGTAGGGATATAGTGAAGCCCTCCGTCCGTCCGTCAGTCCGTCCGTCCGTCCGTCTGTATCTATATATTACAAGATGTCCGTCCGGAAGATAACTCAAATATTAGTTGATGGATTTTCTTCATATATGGTGGAAAGATGTATATTGATAAATAGTTTTACGCAAAAAAATATTTTTTTCAAGATGGCCGCCGCTTTAAAAATGACGGGACTTTTTCGCAAAAATCATTAATTTTTCATTCTAAACCAAAGTAATTAATATTATTGTTTGAAATTTTGGTAGTATATTCGCAACATCTATCTATTTCACATATATTCCGTGTTTTTCATCCTGACCCCCAGGGGCCGTGTATGGGGGGTCAGGAAAACAGAAATTTTCGCTAATTTTTTAGATCTTTCTGAAGTATAGCTTTATTATACTCAAATGAAAGGCAATTAAGAGTAGATTGCAAATATTGTATCTTTTTTCTGATTCGAGCCTCGTAAAAATTCAAAATGGCCGTCTAATGTACGATTTCGCAATAATTTTTCAATCCCTTCAAAGTATGGCTATACAATACTCAAATTGAAGGAATTTTGGAGTAGATCACAATTATGGTAATATTTTTCAGATTTGTACCTCAGAAAATTCAAAATGGATTTTTTCAAGATGGCCACTGCTTTAAAAATGACGGGACTTTTTCGCAAAAATCATCAATTTTTCATTCTAAACCAAAGTAATTAATATTATTGTTTGAAATTTTGGTAGTATATTTGCAACATCTATCTATTTCACATATATTCAGTGTTTTTCATCCTGACCCCCAGGGGCCGTGCATGGGGGGTCAGGAAAACAGAAATTTTCGCTAATTTTTAGATCTTTCTGAAGTATAGCTTTATTATACTCAAATGAAAGGCAATTAAGAGTAGATTGCAAATATTGTATCTTTTTTCTGATTCGAGCCTCGTAAAATTCAAAATGGCCGTCTAATGTACGATTTCGCAATAATTTTTCGATCCCTTCAACGTATTGCTATATAATACTCAAATTGAAGGAATTTTGGAGTAGATCACAATTATGGTATTATTTTTCAGATTTGTACCTCAGAAAATTCAAAATGGCTGTTTTGCAGGAATTCGTAATTCTAAAATCTAAATTTTTCAATTTTAACCAAAGTAATGAGTATAATTGATTGGAATTCGGTAATTGATATTTTGTTCGTTGGGATTTGCTACTCCGCGGAGTTGCCATCATCTAGTTATGAAACCATAATATATTTCGGTAATTTTTAGTTTTTTGAAATTTCGCGGCTATTAATTTTCGCGGTAGTTAACTTCTCAAAATATGTCTAGCTTCTTTTATTTAGGTTGGTGATTACTTTATGTACGTTTTTAGAGTTTAAGTGGGTTTGTCATGCAATACCACACTTTCCACTTCAATATCAGCCATGATTAACCTTCATCTTCAGCAATTTTGTGAGAATGTTCATTTAATTATAATCTTCCAGAGTCTAAATGTAAGAATACAGTAACCTCCCAACCTTTTATCGCCCAATACTGGACGACACTATCATTGACATTGAGTGAAATAAATTCCAGGGAATTTCACGACTATTATATTTCGCAAATTAGAACTTTTCCAATTTCATGATTATTATAATTTGCGAATCTTCCAAAACTCACGAAAAGAGTGAAATATAGTAGCACATGAAAACTACCGAGAGTACAGTATTCTTAACAGTTGATTATTCCCAGTTTTATAACTTATATTGCAGAAAAACAAGTCAAGAGATGTCATACAGTAAGATGAAGAAATCAGCTTTGGATTACCAGGAGGCTAATAAACAATTCTTTAATGTCTTCTCAACATGGGTCCATACACCTGCCTCTTGTACAGAGTCTATACAATGAACTTTGAGTTCTCCACATGGGTCTGTACCGCTGCCTCATATACAGACTCTATACAATGAACTTTGAGTTCTCCACATGGGTCTATACTGCTGCCTTATATACATCCTCTATACAATGAACTTTGAGTTCTCCACATGGGTCTGTACCGCTGCCTCATATACAGACTCTATACAATGAACTTTGAGTTCTCCACATGGGTCTGTACCGCTGCCTCATATACAGACTCTATACAATGAACTTTGAGTTCTCCACATGGGTCTGTACCGCTGCCTCATATACAGACTCTATACAATGAACTTTGAGTTCTCCACATGGGTCTGTACCGCTGCCTCATATACAGACTCTATACAATGAACTTTGAGTTCTCCACATGGGTCTGTACCGCTGCCTCATATACAGACTCTATACAATGAACTTTGAGTTCTCCACATGGGTCTGTACCGCTGCCTCATATACAGACTCTATACAATGAACTTTGAGTTCTCCACATGGGTCTGTACCGCTGCCTCATATACAGACTCTATACAATGAACTTTGAGTTCTCCACATGGGTCTGTACCGCTGCCTCATATACAGACTCTATACAATGAACTTTGAGTTCTCCACATGGCTCTGTACGGCTGGCTCTTATACAACTGACTGTATACAATGAACTTTAAGGTGTCCACAACTCATGGGTCTGTACCGCTGCCTCTTACACAGACTTTATACAATGAACTTTGAGTTCACCATATGGATCCATACACCTGCCTCATATACAGACTCTACACAATAATTTTGAGGTCTCCATATGGATCCATATGGGTCTATGGTCTCCAGATGGGTCTGTACCGCTGACTCTTATATGGATTCTGTACAATCTTGAGATTTACACATGGGTCCATAGGCCTGACTCTTATACAAATGACTGTATACAATGAACTTTGAGATCACCACATGAGTCCATTCTCCTGACTCTTATGCCCTGGTCACGTTTGCTCTGATTCATCTGCTGGCCGTGCCTGGCCGATTGAGTATTTTGCTCAAAACTAATACAATTTTGAACAAAATACTCAATCGGCTGTGGGCCGTGGGATGAATCAGAGCAAATGTGACCCAGGCATTATTCAACCGAATGTATGCTATGAACTTTGAGGTCTCTACATGGGTCTGTACCGCTGCCTCTTATGCAGACTCTACACATTAATTTTGAGGTCTCCATATGGATCCATACACCTGCCTCTTATACAGACTCTATACAATGAACTTTTGAGTTTTCCATATGGGTCCTTACCCCTGCCTTTATTTAACCTTGTACTATATGAACCTTGAGTTCTTCACATAGGTCTGTAAGCCTGCCATTAATTTATTTAAAATGATAACATAGTTTAATAAAGAGAACCTGCTGTGTATTGTTAATTATTGATTTTCAATTAAAGAACTGATAACAAAACAAAAAACAATAGCTCTTATCTTCTACAGGATCTAAGTCCATACACTAGAGTGTCAATAGCATTTAGTTAATTTTGAGTTGAAGAGGTCGTTAGAGTGTACAAGTAACTGAATAAATGTCATGACTACTGGATACCAAGATACAGATGAAATTATAATAAATATTGAGGATGAAGGTCAACTTGAACTTATACAGGGACTTTTCGCTTATCTAGAGGATAGGCAATTACCAAATGGAAAAGAATACCATATCTTCTTTTCACACTTTTCTGTAGACAAGAAATGGGTCCTTCAAATGGTACAGATCCTAGAAGCTCCACCATACAATCTAATATGCTGTTATGATGAGAGGGACTTTTTACCAGGGCGTACAAGTATATATGAAATCAACAGGGCTATAACTACCAGCATGAAAACAGTGCTAGTATTCACCCCCGAAGCTGTAGAAAGCCGTTGGTGCCAGACAGAGGTCGATACAGCTATCACCGCCGCATATGATAAACTTATCAATATCATCCCCATCAAACTTAGACCATGTGCTTTACCAGACACACTGAAACACATCAATTATTTAGATGTCACATATTTGGATAAGAATCAGGCTACAGAACATATTCTTCAAGCAGTAACTAAGTGTAACGTCTGGCCTAATTTGTGGTAGTGTGGATGTTGTTATTAATCAGACCAGGTTACTTCGTAGGATACTTGGTACACGTTAAATGTACGCATGAATAAAGAGACACAATATTTAATATAAAATTAACAACATATATTCTGGCTTCTTCCGCCTCAAAATTATACAATATAAATCGATAGTTAATACTAAATTTCAGTTTCAGAGATGCTGTTATCAAAGTCCTTTATGTAAAACTACTTGTATATTTATAGTATTTATCACAAATGTTTATTGTCTTGTCCTGAACAGTATTCCTCATATATGCACATTTATCCTAAGTCCTCTAACTGAAGTTGCATGAAATTCTACTAAGTTCCTCAGACGAGCAATGGATATCCTAAGTCCATCAACCAAAGTATAAAGTTCATCTAACTAGTGATGACTATCCTAAGTCCCTCAAGTTGGCAAATATTCTAAGTCCACCAAGTTGAAGATGTAGGAAATCTACAAAGTTCCTCTAGCCAGCGATGAATATTCTAAGTCCTTCAAGCTGGCGAATATTCTAAGTCCATCAAGTTATAGATGTGTGAGATCTACGGTTCCTCTAACCAGCAGTGAATATTCTAAGTCCCTCGAGTTGGCAAATATTCTAAGTCCATCAAGCTGGTAATATTCTAAGTTCATCAAATTGTAGATGTAGGAAATCTACTAAGTTCCTCTAGCCAGCGATGAATATTCTAAGTCCCTCAAGCTGGTAATATTCTAAGTTCATCAAATTGTAGATGTAGGAAATCTACTAAGTTCCTCTAGCCAGCTATGAATATTCTAAGTCCCTCAAGCTGGTAATATTCTAAGTCCATCAAGTTGTAGATGTAGGAAATCTACAAAGTTCCTCTAGCCAGCGATGAATATTCTAAGTCCCTCAAGCTGGCGAATATTCTAAGTCCATCAAGTTGTAGATGTAGGAAATCTACAAAGTTCCTCTAGCCAGCGATGAATATTCTAAGTCCCTCAAGCTGGTAATATTCTAAGTTCATTAAATTGTAGATGTAGGAAATCTACTAAGTTCCTCTAGCCAGCTATGAATATTCTAAGTCCCTCAAGCTGGTAATATTCTAAGTTCATCAAGTTGTAGATGTAGGGAATCTAAGTTCCTCTAGCCAGCTATGGATATTCTAAGTCCCTCAAGCTGGTAATATTCTAAGTTCATCAAACTGTAGATGTAGGAAATCTACTAAGTTCCTCTAGCCAGCTATGAATATTCTGAGTCTCTCAACATATGCGTGAATATTCCTTTTCCTCTGGGCATCAAACTCCAGACAACCATGGTGAATATTGGCTAAGTCCCTCAATATATGCGTGAATATTCCTTAAGTTCCTCTGGGCATCAAACTCCAGGCAACTATGGTGAATATTGGCTAAGTCCCTCAATATATGGGTGAATATTCCTTAAGTTCCTCTGGGCATCAAACTCCAGGCAACTATGATGAATATTGGCTAAGTCCCTCAATATATGCGTGAATATTCCTTAAGTTCCTCTGGGCATCAAACTCCAGGCAACTATGGTGAATATTGGCTAAGTCCCTCAAGGTAATATCCTCTGAGTGCATCAACCTAAAAACCTGCTAAGTCCATCTGCAGGTGTGCCGAATCTGTCTCAAGATCCTCGAAGTACCTCTGGGTAAAATCCTCAAAGTCCCTCAACGGGTTTGTCGAATCTGCCTAAGATCCTCTAAGTATACCAGGGTAATATCCTCTAAGTGCATCAACCTAAAAATCTGCTGAGTCCATCTACAGGTGTGTTGAATCTGTCCAAGATCCTCGAAGTACCTCTGGGTAAAATCCTCTAAGTCCCTCAACGGGTTTGTCGAATCTGCCTAAGATCCTCTAAGTATACCAGGGTAATATCCTCTAAGTACCACGGGTTAATTCCTCTTAAGTGCCTCTCAGTATATGTAGAATCTGCCTAAGATCCTCTAGTTACATCAGGGTAAAATCATCTAAGTCCCTCAATATATGCGATGAAAATCTTCTAAGTCCATCAGATATATGCGTAGAATTAGCCTAAGTCAATCAAGCGTCAATCCCTGGAGGCACACGGGTCTGTCCTCTGTCAGTTCCAGCTAGAAAGTGCCTGCTGAGTCACCTGGTCGTCTCTATTTATACCCCAGACATGTATGTAACATGTACTAGGTTTTGCACACGAACCTAACAAGTGATTAATGGGCTGATGCAATACCTAGGCCCCTGGACAGGACAAGACTGGTGTACAATTACTATGACGCAATCAGGATATGAATAGTGCAAAATAACTGGCTTATTTAGAACTCACAATCTGTGCTATCTAATGTAACATCAATATATGTTTAGTATATAATTAACTAGATAAATGTATAAACTAAATAAATATAACATAAACCAATCATCATTGGTTTTAATCATGCCGAAATTGACCGAAAAAACTAGTAATTGAATGTAGGTCAAGATAGCTCTTCAAAAGTAAGATGAGAAAATGTAAACAAATGAAAGCAAAATGAAATCTCACAAAATCGAACAGTTTACATGATTCTGCCTACTCCTTTAGTGTCACATACATTCATGTAAGTATACTACTTGTCAAACAAACTGAAAAACAGTTTCCAAATGTGTTAACTGTAAGCGAACTGATAAAATGGCACAGGACTACAAAGAACAGAAAATTTGAAAAGTAAAAATTTGTTACATAAGGATACTGATGAACCCGTGCTACCGCCTCAGGTTCAACGTAATATGGTCACTAATGGGTCATACTTTAACATCAAAAGCAAACGACATGGCTGTTCCAGTATTTTGGATACTACTTTTGAGGACATGAAAATAGGCTTAGATGTGAGAGCTATTCCTTTTAATGATGATGAGATAGCTAACACCATTGATAAGATCAATAAGTCATCATTGATGAGATATTACTTTGTTTTACGTTGTAACTCCAGTTGTTTACCTGATAAATTCACATTACCCTGTGTAGCTATTTTCACAAGTTTGGTGATTTGTCTTTGCGGCAGCTTCGTTTTACTTTTCGCTGTTACTTGTACGCAAATGAATCAGTTTTCTGATGAACCTGGGCGCTGTATCTCTGTCCTGTTGTCACATTTGATTGTTGTTATGCTAATCATTGTTACAATAGGAATACCACTTGGCAACACCTTACTTAAAATCCATTTTAGAAACAAACTAACAAATCTTTCAGTCGAATGTGTCAACAGAAATGTCATATTCACTGTGACATATAAGGACAAAATTCCTATCCTGGCAGTTATGAAGTATGACAATACATTGTGTTTAGAGCACATTGTAAATTACAACCGTGCTTGTGTACGAGCCAGAACTAGATACAGAGGCATACAAACTACAAGTTATGAAAAAACACCTCCTTAACTATGCTCTATCTATACAGAGTGGAACACAAAAAGCAACTGCTGTTCGTCATGTAGTGGTGTATGAACAAATGTGTTTCTGCCAATATGTTCAGCAACATGAATCAAGATAATGCATGTATTAACATTTTCAATACAATAGTTTAAAGAGCTATCACCCTATACGAAGTGAAAGGACAATTTCCACGTAGATACGGTAACGGACGAGAAATGGAGATAAATTGACGATGTCGGACCAGCAGTGAGTTTCAGTTTACTTTTGGAGTTATACGCTAAACTGGACCTGAACTGTCTTTTTACTTGTGTACACTTATGTATGACAGTACCCATGATTAGATTTGTTAAATGTTTTTGAAAATTAAACTCAGTTGATAGGCCTATTTTTACTTCAATAGATAGCTATCTACAATCTATGGTATAATCAATCCAGCTAATACTGTATATAAAAGCTTATTTGATGTATTAAAAGGAATTAGTATCTATGATAGAAATTGATAAACATACTAACTCAATTTCTAGATAATTTCTAGGCATCAGGAAATGGGTACAATGTTAAAAGTTTTGGTGCAGTAATGGTCAACGGATGAGAAACGGAGGCAAAAATTGAAGATGTCGGACCAGCAGTGAGTTTATTTTTGGAAATTATACAATAAATTGACCTCAAACTGTCTTGTTACTTATGTACACTAATGTAAGACAGTACCCATGATTACATTTGTTGTTGTTTTCAAAATTAAACTAAGTTGATAGTTTTTTTACTTGGATTGATTGCCAACTACAATCTATGACATCATTTATCCAGCTAATTGTAAATAAAAGCTTATTTGATGTACAGGGTTAGCCAAAAAATGTAACCAAACAAATGGTATTAACTCAGTCACCAAGCATGGGTTTAAAATCATTTTTGGCACAATTAAACGTTGTTCAATGTTCCTTCCTTACATAAAGACGACGATTTATGAGAATATCACATTTATGAACGTATTGTTATATTGGGCCTGCCTACGTTATGAGATGTTGTTATATAAAATCCAACATAAAATGTTAAATGATGTTTCAATATTTATTAATGTTCAGGATAAATCCTACGCTAGTTGTAAAAGTTACATGTTGATGTTATCCTGTTTGTTAGCTCAAAAGCTAACGGTTTTAAGTGTTAATTTAGAATTTCGATAGCAAGTTATGTATTTTTGAAGTTTAAATTTAAATGATGTTTGTGTTGCTTAAACCAAGAATGTCCGAAAAAGTGATTCTGTACTGGAAAGATGCTATCTTAACCAGATTCAAAAGAATGTTAAGACCGCCTCTTTTCCATATAAGGAATGCTAACGAAAGCAACACTCTTAAAATTTGAACCATACAATATGCCCCCTTCTAGTAAAATCTGATTTCCACATCAGATAAAATGAATTAAACAAGGAGTACAGTAGAAATGTAAAAAGTACAAAAATGCAGCACAAATAAATCATAATTTACATTGTGTTTTACAATAATTTTAAAAATGAAAAATAACCATTTTACTAAATCACAACCATACAATATGTTTTCTTCAAGTTAAAGTTAAAGTATGCTAATCATAGAAAATAGAAATACAGGGCAAAGATAGATGGAACACTTTTACAGTTTATACGATAATAGATGTCTCTACTACAAAATACAACTAAACATATGATCATGTTCGTTACACAACGTTAGAAATAGGATTATAATGAAGCCCTTGGCTCATGTTACCTTAGCAACACAAGTTACTCTCTCCAAAATAAAAGTACATCAAACTTCCGTTCTCCAAAATTGGCCCTTCACGAAGATAACCATATAACTAGAAATAAGTTTACATATAGTTAATGTGTTTCACTTTAAAATTTATATCATTTACAGATATACCTTAATAGTTTATCTGTAACAAAACATCAGAAATATATACACGACAAACTAGTACACTATGTCATTCAACGACTATACGTCCCAGAGAGTGCTGTAATATTCCGTGTTTTTACAAATAATGCATTGAAAAATATCATGTATTTTATATTAATACATTTTAAAATCATATGTACTTTAAATACTTTAAGTACATTTACAATTGATAGCTACATCTAGTGCTATATATTACATCACGGAAAATGCTCAACAATACCATGATACCATGAGAGTATTCCGAACAAACGGCGATATAAAAACACTGATATAAACATATCATAAAATGATGGTTTACAAATATGACATCTAACACAATTATTACACAACCTGGCCTGGGCTGAAATTGATATTATTCATAAATGAACCTCATATACGCGTATCAAATAATAGCATCATGATCACTATAGTCATGGCATAAAAATACTATCAAAATAGTCTCCACTTATCAATAGTGGACAAAATAGCATTAGCAGCTCCACCATGTTATATTGGGCCTGCCTACGTTATGAGATGTTGTTATATAAAATCCAACATAAAATGTTAAATGATGTTCCAATATTTATTAATTGTTAATGTTCAGGATAAATCCTACGCTAGTTGTAAAAGTTACATGTTGATGTTATCCTGTTTGTTAGCTCAAAAGCTAACGGTTTTAAGTGTTAATTTAGAATTTCGATAGCAAGTTATGTATTTTTGAAGTTAAATCTAAATGATGTTTGTGTTGCTTAAACCAAGAATGTCCGAAAAAGTGATTCTGTACTGGAAAGATGCTATCTTAACCAGATTCAAAAGAATGTTAAGACCGCCTCTTTTACATATAAGGAATGCTAACGAAAGCAACACTCTTAAAAATTGAACCATACAATAGTATAGAGCTGCGCAATAAATGATGTCGTAATTAAACACTTCATATGAAGTTATACGTACGAAGAGGAGGGAAACCCCATGATTCAATTGATGACATACGATTTCCTCCTTCGCGCACCTCCTTTCCGGGAAGTACTTATCCTCCATCTTGGTTTTCAAAGTTTTCAAATTGACCTAGTTTTAGACCAATCAACGATCGACTCGCTAAACCAATCAGCGACGATGTCATCTTAATACAGATTTACATTATAAGCGTATGTCACCTTTGAACCCTTTTACCTTTGGAATACCCTTTGCATATTCCTTAAGGTAATATATTTTAACAAACCATCTGTAAATAGCAGAAGTGAGGACAGAATTCAAATTTTAGATTAAAATAATCACTTTTATTTAACTTTTAATTGAAAACAAGAAAATGTAGAAAAATGATCATTGATTTAGAGCCATTGTTTTACGGAATACAGTATATCATAAATAGATGAAATCATAATATTTCAAGCATTATCTTGATATTCAATTTTTTGAAAAGAATCTACCATTTTGGCAAAAAGAAAAGATATTATATTTTAACACCTGAATTACATAGTAGTAAACAAAAAAGGTTAAAAGAAAAGTATCCGATATGTTAATAGATCGAATAATCTTCTAGAAAGAAATATTTTGACCTAACATTATCTGTTTTGATATGATTCACAATCATGTCAAAGATTCAGTTTAGTTAAGCCTTAAGAAGTTAATATATAGGGATATATAAGAAGCAAAAGTATCGTATTGTCAGTTCCCTTTTAACATTTAAAATTTGTTTTGTCAAATTTTTCAATAGAAATTGAATTAATATTTTCTTGGCTGTTTGTTTATTGACGTAATTATTAAAATTCAATAAAAGGGACGTATTGTTAAAGTACTCAAGAAGAACAAATTATGATTGTGTTTCTGTCAAAGTTTATTCTTTAATCTCCTCTCCGTCACTACCTTTTCACTCCTCCCCTCCAAGATCTTTTCTAACACCTTTTTCTCCCCTCCACCAAATATATACTTTAAAAATGTTTTCTCTAAAATATACATGTATATATCTATAAATAAATACGTATTCTAACACTCATACATACGAATGCATTATAGACACACACATGTCAAAAATATAAAAACTACTTGTGAATATATATGTATTTTAGATTTTGATTTCTAAAACTACATGTAAAATATATTAATGTATATATCTTCACCTATTATGTAACGTATGTATACACACGCACATATACATTATGCTTACTCAGATACTCATATATATATATACAAGGTTATATAAAATATGTTAATATATACCCACTTACTTACATGTTCATACGATATTACTTAATCTTATTTATAACGTACATGTATTTATACGCACATGTATACAAACACACACGCGTATATATATTATTTCATACGATATTACTTATATATACAAGGTCATATGTTGTAATAATGTAATTAATAATGTATGTATTTTATTTATATAACACATTGATCTCGAATACTTAACTTTTATGAGAAACATAAATAATGAAACACTGGAACAAATGTTTCCAGTGGCAACTATAAATATAAAATTAGCAGTGAACATTGATTTCTTACCTTGATATTTTTACATTTCTACCAGTTATTATCTCAGAGTATTGAGCAACTACATATATAGCATCCTATTGATAATATCTGGCAAGGATATTCTTTTCAGAAAGAATTGGTTAGTAAACATTGTTTCGTTTGCCTTACGTGTCACATACGAGGGTTGTCCCAGAAGTAATGCACCCTTTTGCTCTAACTTTATCAATATTTGATATTTTTGTTATAAATTTTTCAGGGAATGATCTTTTGAGAAATTTTGATTATTGTACACTGTTTCTTATCGATCTAAAATACTATATTGATGTTATAATAATCGATAATGTATACTTCAATAGTCCTTCTTTCATTGTACAGGGTGACCTAAAAAACAGAAGCCTCTAAAAGGTGATTTCTCAAATACATGTCCCATCAACCAAACTTTTTATGTGCATTAACAAAAATCTATGGGATGGCAATATCTTTTAAAGTTTGTTACACACATTTGACAATTTGTGATATAATGGATGATCTTAGAATGTCCCTAATTTGAGGAATTCGGAGGAAAACTCTAAAGAAGACATGAAATTAAAGTCTCATTAATTTTTCAACTGAAAAATTAAGAAAATGCAATGATAAAACACCTAGTAAAACATCAGATGACTGAAATTCATGGGCTCCGACCAAGAACACCTCAAACGATGTACAATATTCCATTTGATGCTTTCTCAAGAGATCATTATGATGACAGCAGAGTGACACGTATGATCAGTCAAGAGCATTGCATGTCATGTGATTTCAAGTAAAATATTTAATAATGAGTTCGAAGAGGAAGAATGGAGAACTATTTAAAACAACTAAATAGAAAAAATGATTAGCCTACACCTATCCAGGGAGATTCCAAGAATGAGGGTATGAGAGCACTATATGTGATTGTATTGAACGTAGTTACACGTCGCACGAAACTGGGGACAATTAGAGTAACATTATGGCGTCAAAATACCAAAACAATACAATGGGCAGTATAGGGCGCAATCAGCATCATAACGTCAAAAACGACAAGCGTTACATTTTGTCAAGTTTAGTCAACCTAAAAATAAGATGCTTTATTCTTATTCAATCCTGGTAAAATTAACAGAGCAACAAGATCTCGAGGACAATATTTCTAAAATGTTTTTGATTTTTAAAAAACGGTCAGGAAGTCCACTCGGGGCGTTAGTAAAAATTGATATGTATGGGATTTGTGGTAAAAAATCGATGCGTTACATTTTTTCAAGTCTCTAAAAGCAACTCTTATTCTCTTATTATTTGAAAAATAAAGAAATCGTTATTGCTTTGTAAATTTCGCCATGACAATATTGTGCAGTTAAATTTTTTTTGAAATCAGACCTAAATTAGAACGTTAAATAAAGATTAACTTATTGCCTGTCTCCTTCGCCTTCAAAACCTTACACAATTTTGAAAATCTTAAAAGCGTTCATATAAGACGATTTGAACTGTAGCCGCTTGGCAATTGTGACGTCATAAAAGCACATGTTTCAATGAATAAAATGTGAAATTTAAGTAAAATTCTGATCAGTATTTCAAAAGTTATCCCGATTTCAACGAACCGTGTAAGCGTGAAATGTTACGCCTTACAGCGTATTTGACGATGTCGGAGTACATTTTAACTTAAAAAATAAGGTAGATCCTATCACACTTTCCATGGAAAAATAATTTCAGTGAAATGCGAATAAAAAATACTTCAAAATGATATATGATGCACATAGTTAGCTTTTTAAATAAGGCAGATATTAACGCTTAAAGCTGAGATTACCCCGTATTTCCCGAATTGTCCCCAGGTCCGTGTACGTCATAAGTTTAAAAATATGAAGGTGCAGCCATAGCTAAAGATGACTTAAAGGTTACTGAATCAGTTCCTCATCAGTGCTCTCAACTTCTATACTCACAAAATGCAGCTTTACAAGAAGCTAAAGAGAATGCGATGGGTTGAACAAACGATTTGTGACCTTATGGTTGACACAATAGCCTTTCATTTTCGTTTCTTTCAAAAGGTGCACATTTATAATTGACCATGACAAGAAGAATATTGAATGTTATATTACAGATATGGACTCACACGGTGATCCATAGATTGTAGTTTCTATACATAAAAATGAAGCTGATTACATACTAAAGAAATTATTTCCTTTTTGGGGGGGACTGTTTTATGGTCACCCTGTACTTGTCTTCCATTTCATCCATGATCTTTCGAGTATAGGGTCCATAGTTTACGCCAGAGGCTTTACTTGGTCAGCAACCTGTCCTATGACGTTCCCCGCGGGTGTGTACTGGCAAAATGTCACTGAAATTCTGACAGTGTTTTCGTAACTTGAACTTCCACACCCAACCTGTATAGAGTTCTGCCAAACTACCTGAAATGCAAATGGTTTGATCAATTCCATTACAGTTGCAATGTATTGCAGTACAGTGCAGTGCAGTGCAGTGCAGTACGGTACAGTACAGCATAGCACATCACAGATCAGTGCAGAAAACCCCAAAATAGTGTTTTATTATGTAAACTCTTACACTTACCGTAATATGCTACTAATTGCCTTAATCCTACCATATCAGCCTTTCTATGGTGAAACTTATACATGTATGTATTTCGTGACAACCCTGTCTCCGTCACGAGTCTATGACCTCAATTTTATCCACCATTTTCTTTCGTTAAGGTATGAGTACCGTAATCCAACACCAAATTCGAAAATTCATAACAATACTTTGCACATATGGCGTTCGTGACCAACTATAAAACGCTTACCCCCCATAGTGTTATATATCAAAATGTACCTGTTCATATAGGGGTTCGATTGATCTACATCAAATTAAAGGGAGTCAGGTTACTTTTTGAGATATCAGCGTCCATTTATTGTGACTCGCGTTTGCTACCACTTCCTCAATTCTGATATGACGGGCAAACGCGTAGTAAACACCTTCACGTCGGAACTATTTTTGACCTACATCGCTATTTTCGTAATTCAAATGAAAGTTGAACTCCTCCTCTTTATTTTGATACCAAATAGTGGCATACTAGGTACCCTAGAAGCAAACTATGGCGTTATTTAGAACAATACCACGAGTTTTTAAATGGACTATATAGGGGTCATACCTTTTGGCGGATGGATATGGAACCTCATACCTTAATGTGTTATGACATCACACTGACTTTTGTCTCTGCAACTTTTTTTGGCAGAAAATATCATTTTTAGTTCAAAAATGCATAAAAACGTCGGAACTGGCTGAATATGTGAAAAAATTATCCATTTAGGCTAGAAAGGGTTAATTTGCCCTACCCCAAATACGTCTAAATATGCTAGTCTAACTTTGCCACTGTGACGTCACAAATCTAACCTGACTATCTCCAGGCCTGTCAACTTGGGAACACCTAACATGAGTGACTTGGAAATGTTGAACACCTCCCCTCAAAATGTGGACACCTTGGTCCAAATCTGAACACCTTGATCCAAATTTTGAACACCTTGGTTTAAATTTTATTACATCTTGCCAAATTTTGAACACCTCGATTTTTTCGCGCTCGCTAAGCTCGCGTTTGAAACATCCATCAACGGGGGGGGGGGGGGGGGGGGGGTAGGTACGATAAATTTCGAACGGAATGCGTGACATATCCTTAATTCGCGTGAAAAGTCCGAACGAAATGCGTACGTTTTTTTCCCGTCGTTCGTATTTTTGCTGTGTAGACGATCTTTTTTAGAAAATTTTCTACAGAAATATTTTTGCTTGACAATTACCAGGTAAAATGCGTATTTGCGTGACATTTTCTGTCACGCAAAAATAACTGGCGTGACTTCAAATTCTTCAGCAAATGCGTGACAAATACGCAAATTGCGGGACAGTTGACAGGCCTGTATCTCTGAGTTTATTGAAGAAGATGATACGTCTGACAAACAGCTTTCATTCCCTATATGGCACACCTTCTACTAAGAGTTGCATCATTGACTAAATCCAAGACAAAGGCCCTGTGTCCCGAGGATTTTGACTGAAATTTGGCCATTTTCGCCCAAATCTAACTAAATTGCAGTTTCCCTCACACCTGTATTTTGAAATAAATATTGCTACAATGTAGCAATTTAAAAATCACACATGATTACTGTTTCTGTCGACCTGACACGTGTATCTAGCCTGTAAAAATGAAAAATCGCTACATTGTAGCAATTTCACTGAGATATGGGCCCTGAAAATCATGTAATTTTAGCAAAAAATGAAGAAATAACCTGCAATTTTGACGGAATTTCAGAGGGCTCTCTTTCATCCATGACCCTCCACGGGCCTCTTATGACCATTCTTATACTCACAGAATGGTTGAAAGTGATTTCAAATCATTGTTTGCCCTACGCAGAACGAAAAAATCGATTCTGTTCTCAAATTCTGCTAGAATATTGGTCTCTGGCCAACTAGCAGACAATTTTAGGCCTCATATTAAGGTATGAGTACCGTAATCCAACACCAAATTCGAAAATTCATAACAATACTTTGCACATATGGCGTTCGTGAGCAACTATAAAACGCTTACCCCCCATAGTGTTATATATCAAAATGTACCTGTTCATATAGGGGTTCGATTGATCAAATTATAGGGAGTCAGGTTACTTTTTGAGATATCAGCGTCCATTTATTGTGACTCGCGTTTATTACCACTTCCTCAATTCTGATATGACGGGCAAACGCGTAGTAAACACCTTCACGTCGGAACTATTTTTGACCTACATCGCTATTTTCGTAATTCAAATGAAAGTTGAACTCCTCCTCTTTATTTTGATACCAAATAGTGGCATACTAGGTACCCTAGAAGCAAACTATGGCGTTATTTAGAACAATACCACGAGTTTTTAAATGGACTATATCGAGGGTTTCAAGCAAAAAAGTACTAAGTGCATTTTTTATCAAAATAGAGTTATTTATACCAGGATATAGTGTAATAATATGGCTTTCATTTAATCTAGTTGACTTAGTCATATGTATTATATAACTCGAGATAACAAACAGAAACATATAGTACTAAGTGATTTTGAACAAAAAACTCCGTGCAAAAAAATATCAAATGAAATTTGAGTGTGCAAAAAAATACTATAATCATTTTGTTACGTTTTTGCACTTCCATATTCATTAAATAGATAAGTAAATTTAGTCCTTTTAAAAGTAAATGAGTGATCCAGCCTGGTTTTACAAATAGTACAAATATATAGAGGGTAAATACTAAATTCAAAAGACATAGATACATAATGGGTTGTGTGTCTGGACCCGGATAGAAAATAATAAATAATATAGTACTTTTTTGCATGCACCGATTAATATATTAGACAGTCAAAATAATGTAAATTTCAATGGATATGACTCATCTGTGTAATATTGTCTAGCCTTGAGGAGAGTCTATGTGAGCTTATTAACATTTCTGTTTAGCAAAATTGCTTTGAAGTTATTTGAGAATTTGAAAATGACAATGAAATTCTGGCACCAAAATACCTATAACGACACAGAACATGATTTCCACGATGTTTATGGCACAAGACAACTCTAAAGCACACACCCCTATTCAAACTAAGCCTGACTCCAATCCTAGAACAAGACAACACAGTTCCCTTTTTGGAAAGTAACAACACTTTAACCCCCATCCTAGATAAAGGTAAAACTTCAGCACCTGTCCTAGATCAAGCACAGCTTCCGTCATAGATGAAGGCAGCTTAGCATCCGTCTTTGGGAATAACATGAATTTAACCTCCATCCGAGATCAAGGCAGTACTACAACACCCATTCTCGATCATGACAACACCTCGAGCCCCAACGTAACCTTGTACAAGACAGGGCACCTACTGCAATCCCAGAGCAAGGTATCACACCGACCTCCACCCTCCATCAAGAAAGCCCTTCAACCACCATCCTTCATCAAATCATAACATGTCTGCAAAACTCAAGACATCAACTCCAATGTATAAAACTAGAAGTATAAGCAACTCAAAAGAGAGATGAATATGATGGTTTCCATATAACTGAAGAGAGATTCATCATCGTTCAAATGAGCAATAAATATTATGGTACAGAGGATACAGTACTCTCTTGGGATCTGTTGATGTAGTTTTACTACTTGAGTATATGTTGAGCCCTTCGAAATTAAAGAAATTGTGTATGTATTTCCCTTTCCCTGCAATATGGACAAGTACGTTCCCGTTTATGGGAGCATAGACAAATGTTTCCATTTTCGCCAGCTTGAGGTAATCAGAAGATTTGTAAGCGGTGATACCTGCAGCATAGAAGGCAGTCTCCATCCCCTGGAATTCAATCTGCTACTTGTCCATTACTTTGTATGATGGCTCATGCTTTAATGACTCATCCCTGCTTATATTTTTTATCCGGGTCCAGACACACAACCCATTATGTATCTATGTCTTTTGCTTCAGCAATTCAGATAATGAACCGCTTGCTGTCTTTATCCCAGATTAAGACAGAGATGATTCTGATGCTGGCGTAGATTATGAATCATGCAATGATGACTTCTTCAGACTCATCAAAAACATCCATTGATAAATCATCAGGTGAAGAAGAAGAGGTTGTCCAACTAAAGAAAAGAGAACCCAAACAAAGAACATCAAAAAGTAACACTGCTGTGTTATTAAGAAGCATCATTATCATCATCGTTCAAATGAGCAATAAATATAAGCAAATGAGATAAACTCACTACATCAAGAAGAGGTAGGCAAATGAAAGGGGCAAGTGCTGTATTACTGTTCCCTACTTATATACTGAAAAGCTGAATATTTCAAAAGAAAAGAAATTCAACCTCCTATCAATGTCCAAAGTGGGATTATTCCCATAGACAACCATGATTTTTACCAGAGAATCGGAGTGAGGAGCACTTACAAGACTCTCTGCTCCTGATGCCTTAGGAGACAGAGCATGACACTGATGAGGACAGACATATTCCCTGAGCTGCTCCGAAAAAGAGATGAAGTGTAAAAATTGAGTTGTTTTGATCGACAAGAAAATATAGAATTTGAAAAATGTCGAAAATATGGTCCCCACAAGACGTAAATGTCCGCAATGGTTTAAAAATATGCATGGCGCAATGTTTGGAGTCAATGCATTTTAAGCAATATAAACAATTGTCAATTGGTAGAAAAAGGGGAATGTGACATGTATAAAGGCTCCAGGGTGACAAAAATGTTAGCCAATGAATGACTTTGATGGCTTAGAAATCAGCTTATTGTAGTCAAGAGTACATGTCCCCATTTCAAGTCAATACATCCTTGCTTTAATCCTCATTTTCTAAGTGAAGTCCCAATTGCCAAAAATGTAACAGCCCAACAACAAAGTCTTTATCCAAGGCTCTTTGAAAAATCAGATCAGGGATTAAGAACCC